GCTCATCACTCGCTTTGAAATTCTGTCAGCTGATTATGGTTTTGTAGTTTTTATTTTGTGCTGAGCCATGTATAACACCCCACACTGGCCTGGATAACACAGAAACATTGACACTCTTAATGAGCTTGGGGAGAAATACACACCAGCTCATTTTTTCAGCTGTTGATAGTTGTTTATCAAAATCAAAACTCACCCTCAGGTCCTCTTGGTGTTGAGATCAAGTGTCAGCTTTTTTTGAAACAGCTGTGCTCAGTCCCGTCCAGCCACATTCTTCCTGAGCTTTGTGGACACATACCCTGGCCCATCTCTGATCCTTCTCCCACGGTGAGGCTTTACTGGTCAGCCACAGAGGACACTCAGAGAATGAATAAACTGGCTTTTGGTGTTTGGGTGCATTGTATTGGTATATAATTTGGTATGATTTTATGGCTCCCTGGTTTTGTCAGACGTTGCCTTTCTGAACATCAGTTCCCAAACTGGTGTGCAGCAGTACTGTAGCTAAGGAATACAGGAAACAAGAGGAAAATGATAAGATTAGTACTTATGAATACTTACGTGAATTTCACAGAGAAATATGTACATAGGTCCTTTTTGTAATTTCTCTGTTTAAAATAGCAAACATGTGCAGTCAGTGCAACTGGTTTTAGCAACATGGTTTAATTAGTCTAGTTCCAGGCTGAGGGAATAAAAAATGGGGATCAGATTTAGTGGTGAGGATCACATTTCACAATGTCTTGGAAAAATGCTGAGTATAATAGTAATTTTAGTGCTTTTCAGGGATTTAACCTTACCATTTTTTCAGCACCCTCATTCATTGTCCTTTGTGATTTTTCTCTTGGTTTTTTCTTGGCGTCAGAGCACATCTACCAGTGTGTACAGCAGTACAGTAGTCACCTGCTTCCTTGGCATTCAGTTCATCTTATTATCCCATCTACTTCTGTATTTCTTTCCCACAAAATTCTTCAGGAATCTGACTGCCCACAAATGTTGTTCCTAATTCCTGCGTAAATATTTCACAGCACCAAAACCAGTCTTCAAAGCACAATGCAAACTAGGCATCACATATCATGTCTGCAGTATTGTATGAAATGCTTCTAGGAGCAGGTGGATAATGAGGAAGAAACTGCATTCATAAAGGAGGCTTGATCAGAGGTTAGGAAATTGCTTTTCCTAAGCTTGTTCTTATGTTTTTGTAATTATAGTATCTTTCAAAACTTAGTGTACACTGGTTTGCATTTTAAGAAAAGCATATTATGCAGTTTGTTACTTTATATTAGTAATATCTTAATAATAATAAGTAATTCTTACTATATGTTTAATATATTAAAACCTGACAGGATATATTTGGTATAGCATGTGGTGTATATGTTTCAGTAAGCAACCCACTGTTGTTACTGCAATAAAAGCTCAAGGAAATTGTAGCTTCTAAGCTAAGATAGGTAATGAATTTTTTATTTATTCTATGCATCTAATATATTTTCTTATTTTCTTGGATGATGGTAGAGGAGCAAATCGGTTGACTAGTCTGACCATTCTTATCTTTGCTTTCACCTGTTGATCCAGCATGTCCTGTTGGACAGTTTGTGATGCCTCAGCATCACAACTGTGTTTTTTTCTTGATGGAAGTCAAGTACATGTACTGGATCAGTATAAAGTTTTTTTAACAGCACAGGCTTTGTGAATTGACTGTTTTCTCTGTATGAAGTAGGTTCTTCTGCAGTCTGTTACTTAAAGGTTCAGTTCTGTTCGTCTTGTACGAACAGAAATCTTTGTGGTGTCTGTGTTAATTTTGTGCACTGCTGAGTTTTTGATCTGTCTCAAAGTCTTGGAACATTAAGAGGCAGCCCACCTTGAACTATTAATACATGGTATGAGTGTTAGTCATTATGACTCTGCCTTATCTGTCATTGTTTGCTGAGGAGAAAAAACAAACAGTATGCCATGTGGCTACCTACCCCTGTTCTCTCTTTCTCAGTTGTCATAATCCTGTAGTGGTTCAGTGCTGCAGAGTTACAATTGTGATTGACTTACTGGTTGAGATTTTTAACTTGAGTCTTTCCCACTTTAATATTTTGGATTATTAAAGTTGATTTCTAAACATAAACTTTATTTTTCCCCCACCTGGAATACTTCTGCATGGACTGTAGCTCTTTGCTCAGATGTTTCCTTCTCTGAGTTACAGCAACATCCAAAGATCGTGTTCCAGTTCCCACCTGCTTGTGATAAACAAGCATACTGGGAAGCATGGTCTGTGGGAACACTCACACCTTAAGTGAAAGTGCAGCAATGGTTCCTTATGCCTTTTTAATGAATTGGAGAGGAGAGCTTGATGCTGCTGTGAATACACAGTTACACTGGCTGTGTTAACCTTATGTATTCAGTACTAGCTGGAAGCATCAAACTAGAGTATCACAAGCAGCCCTCCTCTATTACAATAGCTTCTTTTTGCCTAGTCTGCCCTTTCACTATGTTGTTTGGGGGGTTTTGTTTTGGTTTTTTGGGGGTTTTTTGGTTTTTTTGTTTGGTTGGTTGGATGGTTTTGGTTTGGTTTGTTGGGGTTTTTTGATTTGTTTTGGATTTTGTTGGTTTTTTTTTTTTTTTAATTTTATTAACCGTGGAAACTGAAACAGTCCAATTAATGAAAGGGTAATTCTGGATGGTAAAAGATGCAACAAGCTTTCCTTGTCGTTAATAAAGCCATCCTTTGGTTACTTGGAGAAGAGAGGTGCTATACTGAGCACAGAGGTGGGTGTAACTCACATATTGGATACTCATGTTTGGCAGGGGTTGCTGGACCAGGCAGCAGGGTTTAAAACCAGGCACAATTCATGTTGTTTCTTACTCAGCTTGCAGTGTGCTAGGGGACATGAAGAACAGCTGAGCTGACTGCAGAGGGTGAAGAGGACAAAGACAAATCTGTTGGAAGTCTGCCTCATTAGTTCCGCTGTTCAGAGAATAAATTGCTTTTCATTGAGATTTTCAAATTAATAGTGTCTTTTTATATTACAAGGCCATGTGTATGGGCATTAATAGTCTTTTATTTAATTAAAACAACAGCTGGTGATCATTTAATTACAGGGTATGAAAGGGAATAATATTTGACTATGTAGCATTGTTTTATTCAATTTAGAGAATTGTAGCCATTTTTCATGTACTATTTGAAAGCTGTGGTGAAGGATGTACATTCTGATGAACAAACTTGTGAGCTTCATTGCAACAATTCCACTTTGTTATGGAAATAAGGTAAAAGAACGGCTTAAAAATTTACTAGGTTTCCTGAAAATTGGAAGAAAGTTATGAACAGATTGGTACAATTGGTCTGGTTCTTTTTTCTCGTCACTGTAAAATCAGTGCATAGTTTCTTTCTTCTGAAGGCAAAAAATACTTTAAAGTATTCAGGATATTTCTGGATTTATTAAGAGGTTTCAGTGTACATACTTTATAGAAGCTGTGTAGGATATGCCCCTAGCAAGCCTGAGTTACTGAGTTTTACATGAAAAATGAGGCTGCCTTGAAAATCTTAAGTGTTCTGCAATATATAATTATGCATGTGTATATTTGTACTGAAACAAATAACTGCATGTATGTAAGGTATTTTTATAGCTGATGTAATAAAAGCCCTGTCGACTGAACTGATAAGAGAGGATCAAGGGAATAACTAGTTACACAGCATTTAAAAAGTCAGAATTCACATCCAAATATTTTTTTTAATTATCTTTCATGTCTTGAAGGCAGAGTTTTTTTAATTAACAATGGGAATACTGTATGTGAGGAACCAGTTGCCAAATGTTCTGGTCTCTCTGCTGTCAGGCAGCTGCTTTCACACATCAGCATGGGAAAACAGCTATGGTTTTGCTAGCTTCCAGTATTATAAAGGTAGAATTTATATCAAAATAGGACTCACTAACGATTCATTGTAAATGAAACAAGAAAAAATACTTTTTTACCTGTCCCATAGAATATCAGATTGAGGAACTGAAAGTGGGTGGAGGATTAGAAGAGTTTGTATTTCAGCCTGACTCTTGGCAGCAGAGCAGGGTTTACTGTGTTGCTTGGTCTAGTGTGAAAGGTCACTTCTGTTTTCATACCCAGTATAACTTGAAGGTGTTTCTTTACAACTGCAAAGAAAGACTTCAGGGCTAATGGCTAGTTCTCCTTCTTGGACTTTCCAGTTGTAATTGTCAATACTTAGTGCTGAATTCTGGCTTGTGTGTTTGGTGAAACGATGAATGGGGTATTTAGGGACAAGAAGAGAGTGGGAACAATTAAAATTCTTTTAAGAACTGTTCTTGGTTTTTAAGTTGTGCAGCTAACCTAATTTCAATGTTGTGAGTTAGCCTAGCCTGATATATATTTCCACATGCTATCAGCTAAGTGTAGAAAGTATCTTTCATCAAAAGGATCTGCAGAAAGAAAAATGCTCAGGTTCTTCATATGTGGGTTAGTAGATAAGAATCACTGAAACTCGCTGGTGTGGGACTGGGGAGAGTAACAACTGCAGAAGAGTGATTCGCAGTGGAGTAAGCACTAGTTGCAAAATAAAATCAAATCCTTTGCATGGAGCTATCCACTTTCACCAGACTGATAACCTCTGTATGTCTAAAGGCATCAAAATGTGGTACACCTCATTCTACAATGCAAATCTTAGTCAACATTTAGTGTAAGGTTTACAGCACAAAGACTCAGGCTACGTCTTAATGAAGTAGTGTTAGAAGTAATCTACGCATTCCTAGCTGAATTACTCCTAATTGTATTTACCCTTATAAAGGATGTAGTGAAGGAATGCATGTTTTGCCTGGGAAGAAAAATTCCATGTTCAAAAAACTATTTGTTAAATTGTTAGTTGCATGTAGATTTCTTTTAGGCTTTGTTCTACTGAAGTTGCTATTAACTACTACAGAAATCCATCATCACTATAGCTGCCATATAATTCTATCCCTTCTCTAGTGCTAAATGGCTTGGGAATTGGTTAATTTGTTTCTTTCCTTTCTGTCTTGCAGCTTCATTTAGCAGCCCTGGCTTCATTAAAGGGAGACATTGTGGAGCTTAATAAGCGTCTACAACAAACAGAAAAGGAGCGTGACCTATTGGAAAAGAAATTGGCAAAAGCACAGGTGAGCAATAGTAGTTCAAGATTTTGAAGATGATCCCTGGTTTTGTGCAGTCCTTGTTCCTCAGAGAGATCAAGGAATATATCGAACAATGTCACAAGTCAAAAGAATTTTAAGACTGCAAGACACATAGTTGCCATAGGTTATACTTTTTTTGTGTTGAAGACATTCTTTAAAAACCCAGTAAAAATTAATTAGATACATTTTGTTTTGAAGTCAATATAAGCAACAAGTGCTTTGAATAATAGTAGAATATAAGAACTACAGGTTGCTCTCAGTGGGTTAGGTAACTGGTTGCAGAGCCTTGCACTCCTGGGTCACATCTTAACACAGCACAAATTAACACTGATCAAAAGTTACTGCCAATTTCAGTGCTTTGATGTTATGTGAGAAATTACTTGTGATCTCAGTCCGGCTTCTAGTATGCCAGTTGGAATTGTGGAATTGTAGAAAACACAGCCAGTGGAATGCCAAGGGGTTAAATAAGAATAAGGCTGGAACTGTAATGCTTTCACAGAGAGGCAAATGCAAGCAAAGAAAATGGAACTATTGTTTTTAATATTTTTCTCTCCTGTAAAAAAATCTTTGTTTTCAGATACTGCCTTGTACCAAATACCTTTTATAAATAGTTAACATTTCAAAATTAATTCAAAATTCTTGGATAGGGACAAACAAAGCATTTTGTCCTGTAAAGTATGGCACCTTATTTGTTGCTTAGAGATGTAGAATCTCCAACCTTGAAAGTACTCAAGGCACCTGGACCAGATCTTGGATTGGATAAGGGCCTGAATGAGTAAATTCCAGTGGTCCCTGTCATCCTTAGCTGTTCTGTGACTTTGCAGATTTAAAGATTTCAGTATTTATTTCATTTTGATGAGACCTTTCATCTGTGATACTTAAATTCAAGCCAAATATAAAAATGTTTAAGCAGTCTTGATTTTCAGGCTCTTTCTTCAGTTCTGCCTTATTTTGGCCTTTGCCTGCATTCCCTAATGTTTTTTTCAGCTGCTTTTAAGATTTATGGGCTTGTAAGTGATGCTGTTATTGCAGACCATCAATGTAACATCCAAAAATAAAATCACTTTCATGTTTTTATTCCCCTTAATGTGTGATCCAGAGCCATGCTTGGAGTTAACATGGTTTATCAGCTATAATCCTGAGAGCCTTTTCTAATTTCTGTGGCATTCTTGGGATAGAGTCCTCTTTCTGGCTTACAGTTTGGTATGAGGCTGCATTTGACAATCATTAAACTCTCAAATGGATTCATTGTATCCGAATGATCCACATCATTCTGCATGATTGCACTGACTTTATTGTTGCTATTTATAACTCTGGAGGGTCTGGTACTAACCACGGGTTTTTGTTAGTGTTTTATTTTTATTTCTGGGTCTTTACCTAAAAATAGAGAGATTATCTCTCAGCCAGTGAAGAGTGCCTTGTAGGTGCTCTCATACAGTACCAAATAGACACTGATGGCAACTAGGATTAAGGATCAGTCCTTAATACCAATTAATATGTGCTCTGTTAGCTCAAGATTGTTTGGTGTTTTCTTTGATGGGTTACCAATTATGCATGTGTATATAGTGCTTGGTTTGTAATGCTGGGAGTTTTACTTGATACTGAGCCATGCAAACACAGAGATCAGTGCCTCCTGACCTGTGAAGAGCACACAACTGGAATGTCTGAAGGGCAGGCTGATAGCTAGAGTTCAGATTCAGAAAATAAGTATTTTTAATGATCAGTTTTATATAAAGGTTTAATGATATATCTCTTTGCAGTTAATTTTTTTCTGAAGCCCTCAAGAGGATAGAACTTAGTATGTATTAAAATACAAATCTTTCTTAAGGAATTCAAATCATTAAACAAACACAACTCATATATTGAATGTGTTGGCAGTGCATAAGTACTGAGACATACACTGGTGAAACCACTGCACCTTGTCTTCTTTTTCTAACTGCATACCAAGTATGTGTGCTACGTAACATTTTTTAAAACTTTTGTTCCCACTCCACAGAGATTTGTTCATTATTCTTTCCTCTACAGCCTTTGTCTAATGTGAATCAGAAGGCATAAATTAAATAGGAGGTGTTCGAGGTTCTGCATAACCATAATCAGATGCTAGTAGGTCAGTATTAAATCTCTATTCTCCATCTGGACTGTTCTTACCAAGGCACCACATGTTTCACTTTAACTGGCATGGTAAATGCTCTCTGGAACAAATAGCTCTTAAAATGCATTTTTGGTAATACCTTTCCCATCATTTCATAAGGCATGTGAGGCATTTGGAAGAAAGGATTGGTGATTTGCAGAGTGGAGGTGATTTGGGGAGCCACAACTCAAGTAATAGATGACAAATGGTGAAGAAAGCTAGTTGCACTGCCTGGGCTTAAGTTTTTGTGAAGTGATGTAATTGATTAGTGGTTGTTGTAGCATACTCCCTTCCAAATCTGCTGCCTATGGAGACCAGATATAGCATTTCTCTACATGCTTCTATTATTTCAGTAACACAGCAGATCTCTTTTCTCTGTATTTTTATCAGTGTACAATTCAGCAATAAAGCAATCTCTTGAATGAAATTTGCTGTGAAACGCTGGTGAACCACAACTAATGTCTTCTTCCAAAAATCTTTCTGTGATTATGAGGATTGTTGTGCTTTCTACTGGCTCTGTGTGGCACAGTATCCTGGCTTTGATACTGATAAACAGTTGGAGTCTGAAGGGAGAGCATAAGAAATGCACATAGAGAATTTTTCTTTTTCATATCCCCCACCTTTTTGCCGACATATGTGAGCAGCAGGCCACATCACGTTTTATAGTCCTCTATAGTCCTGTCCTCCATGGATTTATATAATCTTTCTATCTGCATTCTTGGCATTTCCAATATCCTGTGACGACATTGAGTTCTGCAGTTCTGTGACTGAGCATGGGATCTAATAACATGCTGAATGTGTCAGCAAATACAACAAGAATAGATAATTCGCTTACTATATTTTTCTTATAATTTCATCTCCTTTCACAAGGTTGTCCTGCTCTCTCATTCTTTGTACTTACTCATTGTTATTTTGGATTTTTATAATAGCTGTAGACAAAGAATGTGCTATATTGTTCTGGATCCTGTATCACAGCAGAAAGTCTCATTACTGCAGTAATAATTCTTTGCCATCCTCTTGATTATTCGGTATATAGGGAGGAACAGCAGAGTTTCAGTATAAAAATAAAACCAACACTCCGTAGACATATAAGAACAGAAGCAACATTTTCTGTAGACATGTAAGAACACGCAAATTTAACAGGAAGGCTTCAGTTTCTCATTTAACAGAGAAACTTGAAATAGAAGTGCATGGTGCTCAGATGAACATTGAAATTACTTGTTTTGTTGTGTGGTGTCCTTATCTGGCTTGGATTAATTCTATGTGCTTGTATTCATCTTCCACATTAAGTATGCACAGAACATACCACAGAACACTTAAATCTGACCATGCATGTTTTTGTGATTGAGGATTTAGCACTATAGCTGTATTTTTATACTTAAATTTAGATTACTGGATTGCCACTTCTAAATCTGCCACTCCTTTCAAATTAAAATACTGTATTAGTTGAGCAAAGATTTTTAGCTTTTGTAATCCTGTTAGACAGGTTTATCACTGTGGCTTGTTCAGGTGATGACTTGTATTCTTGATGAACAATACCACAGCCAGTGTTTATCTCTGCAGGGCCTGGGGCACTGGGGCATCTCTTAATGAGCACTGCTACTAGTAGGTTTTGTTGGGGTTTTTTTGACCTCTGATTGAACACTGCAAATTTAATATAAACATTAACAGAATTTAACACATTGTTAGTGTTTTTTTCAGTAAGAATTTGTGTATGTTAATAGGAAATTTCATCCTTCTCTCTCATACACTTTTTGCTGGTGTTTCCCAGCATCAAGAGATCAGACAATGGTGTTTCTAACCATTGTTAATTTTTATTGTAAATGAAACAACCTTTTTAATCTGTACCAAAAAACAACCAAGAGTTCTCACTTTATATTGAGAACTGTGCTGGAAACTTCTCTCCTGAGTTCAACAATTAATTGCTCATCTTTTGCAACCTCTCAGTAGGTTATTCCTGTGTTGGCTGTCTTAGAGAATTAGACCTCTTAAGGGTTTTGAGACTGGAGCTCTTAAGTATGAGGCTGGAAGAGAGATGAGGAAAAGGGCACGGGGTATTTATTATTTATTATTCAGGGTATAGGTATTTATATTTATCTTATATTGTATGACTGACATGCAAATAAATTTTAAGAGCTGGATGTCTACAGCTTGCAAATAAGTACAGATTGGTGGTAGATTGCTGTTCTGAGGCTCAAAGCGCAAAGAAACTAAGGAGGATGGTGAACACTTGCAGTATCCCAGAGAAAAACTTTACCAGTGGGTAGAAGAACATGCATTTGTTTTTTTTCCTTTTAAATTTTTCAGATTAATCTTCCATAATAAAAAGCAATCCTGAATAGCCAGAAGAATTATCCACTGGTGCATTTTGGGATTCACACTGAACCATATTTACCTACTTGGGTGCTTTTGCCATTTTTTCTTGTGGCTGACCAGAACTTAGGAGATGCAATTCTCCCAGGTGCAGTTCCCCACCTCAAAGACAGACCAGTCCTTACCATAATGGCCTGTTTTTTACAGAGGTTTCCTTTAAGCCTTTTCCAGTTGCTTTTACCTAAGATAATTCAAGAGCTCTTTTAAAAAATCAAATGTGAAGCTATTGTTGTATATTGCCAGACCGATGGTTGTTCACAAAGTACATCTGTCACCAGATGATGTTATCCTGAAAAAATGATGACTGAGAAATGTCTGGAGAAAACAGAAATCAAGTTGTAATGTGGCTGAGACCCATTAGCAAAAGTCCATATATCTTCAGTCGGTATAAACAAATTCTGCTTTTCAGTGCATAGCTTGGAAAGACAAAAATTGTTGTGATTAGGGTTTTATTTATTGTCTGGAAACAATTATTATACACTCTATCTGAAACATCCCTTTGGTTTAAAAGCTAAAAAACCACAAGTGCATGTAATAGATTGATCTTGATAATGCTGAGATAGCATTTGTGGCCATATATGTGTCAGAGGAAATTCAGGTTTAGAAAGGCTGAAGAAGCAACTCTTTATTGCCCCTAAATCTGCTTTAAAGCTTTTGTGAAACATTTTCTTTGTGTTATTTCTGCACTTTGAAAGCTGTGGTAGTTCTTCAGAAAGATACAATGTTAAGATGTGGAAATGTGAGAAGTAAGCTGTAGAATGATCCTATGATAAAGAGTTGTCATAGCCTACATGTACAGCCATATCAGTTGCCAACATGAAGTTTCCTAAGCCAAGCAAACATTATCATTCTTCTGAAATGTGTTCCTTTGCTCTCCTTTGCAGTGTGATTATATGATCTGTTTTTCTTAATGTAGGTGAAAGTGATTTTTACCACAGCTGAAGGTAGAAATGGTTTTGTTACAATGTGTGGAAGGGTGCTCTGATGTCTGTGCTACTTTTAAGTGTGCATATTCATGGAAGTTAAAAACTGTGGTATAAATTTATTTAAAGTTCAAAATAAAAATGTTAATTGAAGCTTATTTTAAATTTTAATTTTCAAGCAGTCTTTTGTGTAGCTTATGTTCTCGAGCTGTGAATGTAAGTGGCAAAAATACATGGGAGCAAATTATGAAAATTCTGGCACATCTACTACTTTATTATTTTTTGTAGTCCATAGGGTTTAGGGAGTTAGCTTGTACGGAGTGTTTATTTGATTTGAAAAAAAAATGTTTGATTCAGCAATTTTGGAGGACCTCCAATATTAATATCAATTTTGGCCCTTAGAAGTGTGAGAATTTTACATTGCAGCTCTTCAATTAAGGAGTGTGGGTTTTACACTGTCAAATGTCTTGAGTTTTCATTTTTTTGATTGCATGATACTTGGCATTGTGTGATTGCAAGGAGGCTAGACTGAAGGGGGTCAGAAGCAAAATGTTAGAAATCAAAGCAAGCATAGCTTCAATCAGCATGCAGTGCTGGCTTGTAATTGCAGTGGTTTGTAATGGTTTGTTATAATTGAAATAGAGCATGTGCTGGCCTGAAGACTAAGCCAGGGGGACTGCATTTAAAATACTGTGTGAAGAAAAAAGGAGGATTTTGTGATATGTGTGAAAAACAAGCAGTCATGTAGCTATTTAATTGCTCAAATCATGAGCATTATATTGTATTGAAGATTACAAACATATTAAAAATACACTGTGTTACCTATAAACATTAAAAAAAATAAGTACTCACACCAGAGAAGAAGCTATAACCTCAAAGTGTGATTACTTTATAATAATGTGGTTTCTGCCATAGGATTTGTTCTAATTCAGACCACATTGGGAAGATCCTAGGATTCAAAGCTTATATATTTCTAGCTATTTTGAGTTGCAAATAGTGGGGTTTTTTTCCAAGCAGAAGTGACAATTTCTCTTTAGGAAAAAAACAAGTAATAGAAGTGCAGTGCATAGTCTGTCAGTTCCTCAAATATTGTAACTACTTACCTGCGTATAGCTGTTGGTATTTTGTGTCTGTCCTTTTCTCTTGCTAAGGCACTGTTGGTTTGATGAGTAGGAAAACCATAGTGCAGTGCACTCCTGCCCTGTGCCCAGCCTCCCTGCAGTTGTCCATAACAGCCTTTCTGTTTCCTTGCTTGTCTGCTGCAGTGTGAGCAGTCCCACCTGATGAGAGAGCACGAGGATGTGCAGGAGCGAACGACGCTGCGCTACGAGGAGCGGATCACAGAGCTGCACAGCATCATTGCCGAGCTCAACAAGAAAATCGATCGGCTGCAGGGTGCAACCATAAGGTACTGCAGCTTCCTGGGAATTCTGGTCCAGGGCAAAGCTCGGGCAAGACATGGTGTGAGTTATACTCTAATGTGATGACAACTTTCAGGCTTGTCATGACAGGTACAGAGTAGTGCCCATAATTAAGGTGAGTGTTCTGCAAGGTGTCATCCAAGCACCCAAGAAGTGCTACCTTCTCTCTGGCAAAGCCACACTTTGCAAAACTTGACAAGCACTGCAAAACACACATCATGACTTCTGAATACTTCTTTCTGTAATGTGCCAGTGTGCCATATAAGTTATAGGAAGGTGAAGACACCCAACTTGAACCTCTGCCTTTAACTTTATTTTGCAGCCTCCTGTAGATCACCTAAGCAAAATCATTTGTGGGAAAGATACGGTTCAAATAGTTGTTAGTAGGTTTTGCCTCTTCTTGTGCTGGCTTTTTTGACAAAACACAATGGTACAAATCATGTTATTGCCTGATTCTGCAGCAGCAAAGCTTGAGGTATTACACCAAGTTGTTAAAATAAACTTTATGTTTAACTACATGGAAGCATTTTTCCTCAGTTGTTTTTACATATTATTTTCAATGTAGAAAAGTTGGACTAGAGTGTAGAAGGACCTTCCTAAGTTTACCTAGTGAGGATGCAACGATATGCCAGAATCTGTGGATTTTTTTAGGCAACATCAAGTTAGATTTGATGCATTTTTGGGTAATGTTGATATACATTACCCAAAATTACATGTAACAATTTTGGGTAATGTAATGGCTCTAGCCATGTAGCAAATTTTCAGTTTTCCTTTACCTATTAGTTGCACTTTCTTTTTGCGTAATTGCTTCATTTCTGTGTTGTAAATACTTCTGCTAGCACAAGGCAATGTTGTTGCAATTACTCACTTAATCTTTCATTAAAATATTATCATGGAAAAAGAAAAATGTTTGGTGTACCATAAATCAGAGGAAATACCATCATATACGTATTTTCACAGCTAGCAATGGTCATGGTGAGATTTTTCAGGTATTTTCTGCTGGTAGTAGTTCTCTGAAAAAAATCCCCATGACTCCCTTCTTCATTTATGCTTGATACCTCTGCAGACAAACTCTCCATTTGTCTTTTGAAAAGACTAGTTGAACAGCAAAATCTGAGAAAGCATGAGAGCTGCATTGATTTTTTTTCCATCTTGAGTGACAGAAAAACTCTTATGACATTTAAGAAGAATATTACATAGAATTCATAAAAATGGTATGTTTGGAATCCTTGTGGCAAAGTAAATGCCAAGTAGTGTACAATTACGAACTACTGGAATCAGGTGAATACCTCTGAATGTTTAACCATGTCCATAAATGAGTCAGCTAGGACTTGCATAGGAACATGAGGTGTAAGAACCAAGCCTGATGGGATGTACATGTTGCTTCTTATGAAAAATGCAGTTTTTCTGCCCCTTTTGGGCAGTTCTGGTCTTTAAAGGCATCAGAACAATACTGCTGCAATAGGTGCCGCACCATTGTCATGCCACTCCAGTTTAATTCAATCATATAAGAGCTTGTTTTGCTCAGACAGCTGGAATGCCTCAACTGGTTTTATTTGCTTTGGTTTTATTAGTAAAAACAAAAATAGTTTGTTAAGTTAGTGGCTCTTTTTATGTCCTTTAATGATGGAAATAACTTCTTTTCTTTGTTAGGCTAATAATTTGGTGCCTAGGGAGCAGAGGAATAATATTCCTACTGAAAATGGAAACTGAAGGGATTCCACAGGGTTTGTAAAACCTGCTGAAAGAAGGAAAACTGATACCTCCTGCTGTGGCTTTCTGTAAATCCACTTTGGGATCCACATGTGTCAGTCTTGAGAAGCTGTCCATGCATCCCACAGAGCAAGGGTGGTGCAGTTGCTGTCCTTGCTGGAACAGGTGTGACTCACAGCACTCCACCCTTGGCTCTGTTGACTGTTGAGTCTGAGAGCTGGAACAGAACAGTCCCGAGTGAAAGTGTTTTGGGGCCACAGCCCTGCCAGGGCCTCAGCAGTTACACTTTACTCTAAAACATGAGAATTTTAGTTTTGATTTGTCTCTTTGAAGGTAGTGTTGAGCAGAGGCTTTACTTGTGCTGTCACAAAATGTGGGCTATCTTTCTGGAAGCAGAGTTTACATAAATAGCATAACAGATTAATGTTTCCCCAATGCTGACACAGTGACTCTCTTTTTCACATAGCGATTTTAGATTGTAAAAATAACTAACGTTTAGCTTCATGTACCTCTACTCTGTGACATTCTTTATAGTTCCTAAACATAAAAATATTTTGGAAACAAGTAGAAGAAACTAGTGCTTCGTGAAGTATTCAACTGTACTCTTTAAATTGTATTCTATTTATTTGAATGTGAACAGTGCCCTCAGAATGTAGGTCAGAAAATAAGGAGACACCATGTTTAAATCTGAATAAGGTGTTGCAAGAGCTTGAGGAGTGTTGGCAGGATGTATAAGCTTGTTGATATTCTCCATTCTGAGAATTTCTGTCTCTGTTTTTTGTTGTGCATTGGGGGTTTCTTTTGCTTTTGCAATGTCAGAGTTTAGAAGTGTAATGGCTTTTGCTCATGTGGTTTAGTAATGCCAGCTCTAGAATCATGGAGTTGTTTGGGTCGGAAGGGACTTATAAGACCATATAGTTCAACCCTTGCAATGGGAAGGAGCACCTTCCACAAGACCAGGTGGCTCAGGACCCTATCTAGCTTGGCCTTGGACACTTTCAGGAACGGGGAAGGCACAGCTTTTCTGGGAAAGGAGGGAGCTTAAGTCACATGTCAATGTATGTGTCTCTTCCCAGGTATGTCTGATATGCTGATCCCAGTGGCAGTAATCTTACAGGAATATTTTTAGAAGTTTACAGGATTTTTCTAGGTTTGCTAGCCATTTCTTGGGTCCATGTGTGTGGCCTCATGAATTCTAGCTGCAGCTCTTGCTCTGCATTCTTCCAGCATTCCTTGAGGAAAGTGAGTTCACCATGCTTGGGGGAGCAAGCCAGCGTTCATCTGCAATTGTCTCATCTCCCTACTGCTGATGCTCCGGACAGCCTAACTGGTTTGAAATCCCCCTCCAAAAAGAGGTATTAAGGTGAAAAAAGTGAGTTCCAGTACACAAATACTCACGTGCAAGTAGATGAGCCTCTGTTGCCAAAGATCTCTGTCCTTTGACAACATCCGTGCAATTTTATCTCAAAGTGTGTACAGCGTAGAAGATGGGAAAACCAGTTGAATGGATCTTCCTAGTTAGAGTCATATTGTAAATACTTGGACATAAAGGACACACCCAGTAACTCTGAAGGACAAAAAAGATTCTAGAAATTACACAGTAGAGTACTAAAATGTAGTAATGTCTGCATTTAAGGTGACAATTTCTGACTTCAGGAGTTTTTAGTATTGACTTAGATTCATTTAAACTTGACTCTTTTTTCTTAATAATTTCTTTGGCTGTCAAAATCAACTGTAACTTCAGTGTGTGACTGACAGTTTTTCTTAGATGTCAAATTGAGGTTCAAGAAAAGGAAAAGAGAATGTCTAATTGCTTTTAGTTCTAAACCAGTGGCTGTTTGGGTACATCCCTGCAACTCTAAAAATAGCAAACAACTATAAAAATACCAGACAGAAATATACTCTTTTCAATGTTGGTGCCTGCTAAGGATTACTTGAAACAGTTGTCAAGAAGCTTATAAGGCATTACTGTAAAACAATTTGTTCAGACTTACAAGTTTTAATCTGAGATACATTTAGAAAGTGTTGGAAGTTAATGGAGAAGATGGGCAGCAAAGAGACTACAGCATCAGAAGAAATAACACACAGCAGTTAAAGTTATGTTTACACAGTGACCTGAAGGTCTAATTCTGGCTTTGAGGTGGAATATGTGCTAGGTGGAACTTGGCACATACTGGATTCAATTCAAAGGGCAGTGTGGGTGTGATAATGTTGGCTTCAGCACACAGTGCTCCACTTGCCCTCAGTGATTAATTTCTGTGCTGTCTCAAATGTCTCACTAATTGTTCATAATGAACTAGTTCAGAGGGACATCAAGTGTTTGTACACAGAGTGCAGTCAATCTTTGTGCACATACCCTGTAGTATTTTCTATCTGAGGGTCTTAGAGGGTTTTAAAAATAGTTTTTTTAGTTAAATGATTGTTGAAAAACTGCTGGCACTTGTAGTACAAAGGTATGGACTGTTTGCATTCATGAAGAGAACATGCATCTTTTGCCAGTGTGCTGTGGTGTGAAAGGATGCTGAAAAATGTGCAATTTTGCTCACTGTTAGAGCAAATTTTTCTGAGTGTCTGTGCAACATTCTGGTCCTCATTGTGAAGAAAGCAATTGGTGAAGAAGTAACTGTAAAACCACAGGTATTTTTCTTCAGTCCTCCCATCCATGTTTGGAATGGCTTGATCTGGTCTTAATTGCCCCCGACTTACCATGACATTCCAGTAAGTGGGACCATCAGGGCCCATAACAGAGCAAATGGCTGCTTTTTACAACCAGGCTGTTGCTGATGGCAGCAATAAGGAAGTTGTAGTGTCTCCACCTCTGGGTGGTGTGGCTGGAGTCCAGTGGCTGGTCATTGTCAGCTGTCAGCACCTTGCCTTTCCAGTGCCACTGGAGAACTCTTCCCCATGTTTTGGATAAAGGAAAATATCAAATAACATCTTTTGTTACTACCAGCATCAGTTTTAAAGTCAGAATTTATATTTGTGATGTATCACTGCCCTTGAATTCCCCCTTATTCTTGCCCTCAGTCTGTTTCCAGTGTGTTCTCTGTTGGTGGAGGCACTGACAGACCTGCTGCCACTTTATCAGAAATGGATTTCTGGCTTTTCTGGTCAGCTTTTAAAAGCATTAGTCCATTTAGAAACTGACTTGTGGCTTGAGTCATCAGAATGGTGAGAGTCCTACTGCATGATGTACTTTTCACTGTCCCAAGATACTGAGGGGCACTTAAACTGAAAAACCCAGAACTAGTTCTAGCTAGATGAGGCTGTGTTGTATTTTAAACAGAAAAATCTGTGCAAGAAGACCCCAAAGAAGAGTGGCGAGAAATTATTATTATGTGTGCTGTTGCTTTAGGGCCAGTAGAACTTTTTATCCATTTGTAGAGGTAATGCGGGTTTTAAAAGTCTAAGACTAATTCTTTCATTAATTAAAAAAATCAATTACCTTCAGATGAAAAATTACAACTGTTTGAGTGCTTGGTAATTGTTTTGTCTAAAGCTAATTACTAGTGGCTTTTTTTGTGGCTAATAACAAACTGGTTCATGGAACATTAACTGACGCTTATGTGTCTTCATTACACTGTTTTAACTCCTCCTGTTTATGATTAGGTTCTATCACTGTCCTCAACAAATACTGCAGGGTACTTCCAAGACCTGCTTTGATGTAAATCTCAGTGTTAACCAGCTGACCTGACCTGTAATAGTAGCCAGTACATGCTTCTGCTAAATTTACACTTTCTTTGCAGTGAAGCAAATGTAAGGGCTAGAAGAGCATGGTAGAAATTGCATGTCACTACCTTGGGAAACTCTGCTGAGCAAGCAAGCTGGAAGTCCTTTTTGGGGTTTTATTGAGGTACATAAGTTCTTAGCTCCGCATCTCTGAGAGCAGACTTTACTTTTGTCATTGATGCCTGCATGTATGGGCCATCTTGTCTGCTGTTTGACAGATTGAGACACGCCTCCAGGACGAATCCTGCAAGAAACACTCATCACCATGTAGTATAAACACAACAGACCTGACATTATAGATACCCCTCCCAGATGCAGATCCCCAGATAGGTCTTTGCTGTTTCTCATTGTTTCCAAGGCCAGACGGTTCCATTCTCACACTTTTCTGCTGAATCTGCAGCAAAATTAATCTCTGCATGTGATTTAGTGTGCAACAAAATGATTGCTGTTTGTTTTCTATCAGAGGGGCCCTTCACCTGGATAAACTGATATTTTTCCAATGTTTAAAATAAATACTTTAATAAAAAAAACAGTTGCTATGAAAGTAAAAAAATAGTAAGTCTGAGTCAAATCAGCAAGTGGATCAAAAGAAAAAATGTTTACAAATGTTCTCAAGCAAAGCTATTATTCGTTTACTTATCTTCTTTCCCAGTGCTTTGAACTCTCTGTGTGGAGACTGGAGAGAAAAGCCCTAATTTTTTAAGTTCATTAGCTTTAGCTAAAGTATTCTGTGTCCTCAGTTAATTTAGTTGAACCAGTTTGACAAATAAACTAAAACCTAGGTAATTGAGGCTTTTCCTTTTCCACTAACACCAGCAGTTCAGTGCAGTACTCACTTACCTCTTCTTCTCTCTTTTGGGAAGAGAAAATGAAAAACCAACCTATCTCCAAGAGCGTTTTAATTCACATGTGCAGGTACATGCATATGCATGATTACTTTGCACACGAGGTGGTGACATCCTTGAATTGAGAAAGAGACCAAAACCAGTTACGTCTAATTCACTTTGGGATCAGAGCCACCTGTGCTGATTTGTGTAAATTATCAGATGGGGGGTAACTGCAGAGCAGCCTATGTCCTCGCACACATCCTTGGTCGCATTCAGTTCCACCCATTGCTTCTTTCTCCAATGGCCAAGAGAAATAATGAATCTGGGAATAAAGAAATGGAAGCCAGGCACCAACTGCTGCAAGTGGGTGTTATGGGCATGGCACAGTGGCTTTGCAGTGAAGAGTTTAAAGTCATCTCTACTGGACAGAACACTCATGTGAATTGGATCCTGTGGCTCATCTTACAGGTCTGAAGTGAATGTCACAAAGATGTACTTTTCCTCAGATAATTTAATTTCTGCCTTTGCTCTCTCTGCCAGGGAGGAGGATGAATACTCGGAGCTGCGGTCAGAGCTGAGCCAAAGCCAGCAGGAGGTTAATGAAGACTCACGCAGCATGGACCAGAACTCCGTCTCAGTGCCAGAGAACCAGTCCACCGTGGTCACTGCAGATGTGGGTGAGTTCTCAGCAGAAGTGATGACTTCCCACAGCAGAAAGGTATCATAGCTTTTGAAATGCAAATCCAAGTGTTTGGTGAGGAAATGAATTAATGGAGGATGTGTAATCACAATTGATTCTGAGCTTCTACATGACTGTGAACTTATATGTGAAGTAATCTTTGTGCCTTGATTGTAGAATCATAGGGTCATTAGGTTTGGAAAAAATCCGTGACATAATTTAGTCCAGACATCAGCCCAGCACCACCACCATGTTCACCATTAAATGTAATTATTGTCTTCAAGTGCCATACCCACGTAGTTTTTGAACACTTTAAGGCATGGTGATTCCATGCATCCCCTAGGCAGTCTGTTCCAATGCTTCACAACCCCGTTCATGAACCTGTTTTTCCTGATTTCCAGTCTAAACCTTCCCTGGTGCAACTTGAGGCTGTTTGCTCTTGTTTGGTCACTTGTCACCTGGGAAAAGAGTCTGACCCTCACCTAACTGCAGCCTCCTCTCGGTTGTAGAGAGCAGCAAAGTCTGCCCTGAGCCTCCATTTCCCCAGAAGCAGACCTTCTAGCAGAATTCTGGTGAAATCCTCACTATGACAGATTTCCAGAATTCTGTTCATAACTCTGTTATGGTTTTCTATACTATATTGTTTAGGAGAGCAAGACCTGCAACAGCACATTTGTATTTTCATGTCTACAATTTCTAGAAACATTGATACAACAGTATTAATAATAATGTGACTGTGAAGTGTCTGACCTAGGAATTGAAAATATTTAACAGTGGTTTTTAAAGTTATAAAAAAGTTAATGTTTTACTTTCAAAAGCTCATGCTTACTGTTAAAGTCATATTTGAACAGATTCTAATATGAGGGTCGTTTCTTCCTTAATTTTCTTCTTACCAAGAAAAGAAAAGAAGAAACTAATTTGCTTTTCAGGGTGCATTTTGTCTTCATGAAGTGAAGCTGAACCAGTGTTTGTGGATATAACTGGCAAGTTGTCTAAGTTCGTTCTAACAATGAAAAACATGGCAGTAGAATGATGTACAATGTAGAGACCTAGAAGATAAGGGGGATGATGTGTCTGTCTCAAAAACCAACAGACAGATAGCTCTGGAGCCAGCCAAGGATTGTAGGCAATAACACACTCTGAGGAGGAACAGGATGTTGCTGGAGAAAAGAGCCATAAGGAGGTAACAGGCAGCACTCTTCAGAGACAAGTGTCCTTGTTCAGCTCCAGGACATGAACACAACACAGCACACCACAAGCATGGGGATGAAGCTGAGAAGGGGGGCATGTGCTATAGAGGGGAATCCAGGTCACCTAAGACTCCAGAAGCCCTCCCAGACATTCAGAAAGGTCTGAAATAAGAGAAAGCCCGTGATAACTAATTTGCATAGAAAGGGAGAAATTTATCTCCAGAGCGGGGAAAACTTACCTATAAACAGGTCCACAAAGCCTAGGGTGCTTGCTTTGCATGTGCAACCCAGCGTCCTGAACAGCTGAATCATGCCAGAGCCAGGACTGGTGATCTTCTTCTCTCTTGCACTCTCCTTCTCCTTTCTTCTCTCTTTGGCTCTCCTCTTTTTTCTTCTTCTCTATCTCCCCTTTCTCTTCCCTTTCCCACTTAATCCAAAAACCACTGCAATGTGATTATGTAGTATGTCCAGGCCTAACCTGACTCACTTTCCATGCCAAGTGTGTATTTGTGAAGTTTTGTTTACCTTCTGACTTTCATCATTCCTTTGACCACAAGCATCTACAAATCTTGGGTGCTCCCTTTCCCTGAAGGGTAGGCTCAAAGATAACAAAGGACAAAGTAAGAACGTTATCTCTAGGGTTTCCTGCATTTCTTCCATATTTTCCTTCTACTCATAGATGCTGTCCTTTTTGGATTTGTTTCCATATTCCTGTGAAAAGAAAGTGCACACACACATATATAGATACAGGAATATGCATGATCTTAAATCCTTCTAGATATAGGTATGTAAGGATAAAAATATCATGCTCTAATAACCCATGTGCATGGCTTGCTTACTGCGCTGATAAAGTGACTGCCCCTAATCCGTGACTTAGTAAAACCAGTAATACCTCATGACACTCTTAATGCGTGTGGATCTGCTGCTCTGTTGCTATAGGCAGTAAAACACATAGAGCTAGAACTGTGAGTGCTCTCCAGTATGTCTTGCAGAGCTTGTGATTGGGCTGTGCTGGTTTTCTGTCAGAGATGGGGTTCTCACATTGTGAACTATTTATTTTATGGGGGAAATGTCACAGTCAGAATAAATCCCAGCAAACAAGGTCTTGTGAAGGTTGTGCAAATGTACAAGATGTTTATTACAGAAGATGTTATGGGAAAAAGCAAATTCAAGCAAACAAAACACAAGGTTTTTACAAGTAAGCATCCTGCTTGCTATATTCTGCTTGTGAGTGGTAATATTATTATGAAGGGCTTTTCTGGTATTACTGTAACACATGGGTGGCTGCTAATTAGGACTTAGTGAAATGACTTCCCAGAAGAAACTTTTATACGTTGCCTATTCCAATTTTTCATGCAATGCTATAACATCATTCTAAACTCTTCTTTTTGGTCAGCAGTAGCTTTGTATTTGTATCTATTAGGCTGTGGAGTTAGGTTAGTGATGAGTTTGCAGTTTTTCACTTTCTGTTCCTCCTGTTCCTTCATCCAGCAGCTCTCAGTCTTCCCTTGCACAGGGAGATCTCAAGGCAGTCTGCAATAATCTGGTGACTCAAGTATGTTAAAATTACAACCCAGTTCAATGCCACCCTTCTTTAGTGCCCTGCAAGAGCCACAGCTGTGGGACTGCCATGAAGTTCTAACCACACTGAAGCGCTTGCAGCAGCAGTACAGGAATCACAACCTCCACCAAGAATGCTTGCCACTGTTTTTAGTGGGCTAGAGGAGTTACAGGTGTGCTGCCACCTCATACTGCACCCATTGTGTGCTCTGCTGTGGGTAGCTACTGCAGACTCTGACCTAGCAAGCCAGAAATACTGACTGGCACATCCAGGAGACAGCACAAGGGTGAATTCTGCCACAGGTGTGCCTTAGGGTCTGCCACTGTCCATCACCATAGGTGACCATAAGACAAAAATAATTTATGGAGTGAGCTAGCAAGGTGCAGAGACTCACTTGTTCTCACATAAGTGGAGGATGCTATGGCAGTGGGCACTAGAAGAGGTTTGCCTAAAGACAGGAAAGGAAATAATGCTCTATGATACTTTATAATTAAAATAGCATTGTTGTATAAGCTGGTAATATGGTTGTAGTATGAAACATAAGCCGTGGTGTTATGATCCCTGAATATTCTGCCATTTTATTTGAAGGAGTAGCTGTTAAAACACAGGCTCTAAGGTGGTTGGTAGGAATCATTTCTGTAAACACCACAATTTTTTAAAATCAGGCAATACCTAAGTACAACCACAAAATTCTTCTGAAAAACATCAAGTCATAACATCCATGAATGTACCAGACAGAAGAATCTTGTATTTACGGAGATGAATGTATGACTTCAATAAAATCAGGATAATAGACCTTGAATGGCCAAAAGAACAACATAAAAAAGTCACAGAATGTAATGTCTTGAATGTTCTTGAGAAAAGAGGGAGTTTTGAAGAAAGAATGAACACTTCAGATAAGCTGTGGGGTGTTGTTTGTCAGATGAGAGGTAGCTCATGATTTCAGTTGATGTGATTATGGTACTTAAGCCTATCAGTTGTCAAGGGAAAAGTAGCAGAGTGCAAGGACATTCTCTGAACAGTATTCGTTGTGGCTGTTCTGCAGCAGACACTTCCTGGTTAAAAGTGTGTTTTTTCACTGAGTCACTAATTGTTGTGATATTGTTTTGTTTTGTCTTGCTTTCTTTTAGATAACTGTAGTGATTTGAATTCAGAACTGCAGAGAGTGCTGACAGGTCTGGAAAAAGTTGTCTGTGGGAGGAAGAAAAGCAGCTGCAGTTTATCGGTGGCAGAAGTGGACAGGCACATTGAACAACTCACTACTGCCAGCGAACATTGTGATTTAGCTATTAAGGTAATGGTAACATTAGGCTCTAAAATGCAGCATGTTCATTGCCTGAGACACCTGATCACTTCTGTAATAATCATAATCGCACTTTGCTTCCAAAGGTGTTAAAAGTACTTTACAGGAGTCAACTCAAGTTCACAGTGTGTGTTTGTAAGTAGTAACACACCTGTTCTACACCTTCCAAGGTACAGGAGGAGGTACTCTGGACCTCAAATCAGAAATGCATTTGTCCTATGCTCATTTCAAAGATAAGATAAATGGGGATACTCAACAGTTAATTTACTTTCTTAAGCAATTTTGCTTATCCAGCAAACACACTCTCACCTGCCCAAGGTCCTACAGGTAATCATTGACCAGTGACTGAAAACACACTGTGTATGTTTGTGCTTGGCTAAGTTGTGATTGGCTACCTTAAAATACAAAGCTGTTCTGATTCCAGCCAGGACTGGGCTAATTTTTGCAGTAGCCAGGAGAGGGTATGGCCTGGTTATCCTATATCCCTCATTTTCCAGGAAGGGGGAAAAGGGTCCCTTCCTGCCATGTGTTCTTGGGGGTAAGAACTCATGTGCAAACTGCCTATTTCTTCTGCACTCCCCTATTAGTATTTTTTCTATTGCTGTTAATTTTCTTACCTCATTGCTATTTCAAGTAAATAGTTCTTATCTCAACCCCCAACCTTTGCCTTTTGTGCCTCTGATTTCCCTTTCTATCCCTCCACTGTAAACTTGGAAGTGGGTGAACAGGGGATGGTTTGCAGTTGTTTCAGTGGGAACACTAAACTGGGGTACACCTTCCCACAGTGCAGCAAAAGCTAGTTTAACACTAGGCATTGGTTGTGCATTAGTTCAAATGAGATAAGTCAGCCTCAGGGACAAATAATTCAAGTGATACCTGTATGTTGTGAATGTAATAGATCAAGGAGATGGATGTTTGGTGGCACATGTAACAAAAGGCACTGCAGTTCAGAATCTGAAAGCAAGAGAGCCACAGAGAATCTTCCTATATACAGGGGAAGACATGAGCAAGCTTTTTGTGTCAGGTGGAAAGGTGTCAGTCACTCATTTATACAAGAAAAATTGTACTGACAGTTTGGTCTTTCATGAGGAGGTCTCTGATCATTCTGGATGGCTTTGACAGCCCTCTGTCCTACCACTGTGAAAAGTTCCTTCTCTACCTGGTGGTGCCTGAGAAATATAACAAAATATAAAGCAATTAACGTTGAGTAGTAATTTGAAGAATGTGTGTATATTTGACTTCTGGTCTCTTGGGATTGGTATTAAAGCAGTTTATTTGAGTGTCTCAGAGGATTAGGATCAGGACTTTGAGTGTTGCTAATTATTATTTGGAATTTTAGGGTTAACTGTTTTCAGAGGTCACTGTTCACCAAAAGAGAGACTGTGGATTCTGGGAAATAGGTAGAGATCAGCCTGTGGAGGCCCACAGAGGTATCGGAAGTGAGATGTGTTTAACAGAGCAAAACCCACACATGGAGCCCCACTCTACCACTGCACCCCTGGCTGCTGGTCATTTCTGCTTTCATGTTTTCTCAACAAAAAAATGGAGAGAATTTTAAAGTGGGTGGAATTGTGAATGGAAACCTGAACTGTTGTGACTACTTTTTGCCTTGGCTATTGGCTTTTTTCTTCAGCAACAGACTAATACATTTAAGTGTTAAATCCTTCAGCTTTGGTGGCTAAATTTTACTGGGTTCCTTTTATTGCAGTTGCTGCTGAATTACTTTTTGCTTCTTTTATACAAATTATGTCACCTTACCCGTCTCAATTGTTTCTGCCCCACAGAAACTGAAAAGACATGGAAAAAATTATCAGATTGTATTACTAACTGAACAGTTACAAAAGCATACTTTGAGAAAAGGATTTAAGTAAATTTCCACAGAATAGTCTGGGTAATGCTTTGCTTATTCTGGATACATAACCGCTAAAGTTTTGCTGATTAAAAAGCTGTAAATATTTACAAGCATGAAACATTTAGAATATGAGAACAGCTGTACTGGGTTGGACCAAAAGTCTGTCTACCTAGTGGCAGATGCTAATGGAAAGACAGTATCAAAAATTACATTCATAGTATATTCTTCTTCCTTTAGAGATGCTTCCAGCAAAGTGGGTCTGTAGGAACTTGAACCAAAGATGATGTCTTTGTGTTTAATTTTAATGGGTGAAATCTTCATCTTTGTTTCTATCTGCTTTGGTTTTGGACTTGTCTAAATTTTTGGCCTCCATAAATTCTGCTAGGAATAAATTGTGCCATTAAGTTACACCATGGTAAGAAGTACTGCTTTAATGTCTTTTAAACCTGATACTTGCTGATTTAATCTGATATCTCATCTATAACACAACACTTCCTGTAAATAAAATAAGGCAGAGAGCACTGATAGCAGTGTCAGCAGCAAGACTGGAATTACCATGATATGACATCCTGCTGCCCTGTGCTCAAAACACAACATTGTAATTCAATCCCACACTCCATGAAATTATACCTAAATTATCTGCTGTGCAGCAACATGCCAGAGAAAACTGCTCTGTATTGCTGCTTTGAAGAAAACTAATCGGCATTATTTTACATAGCTGTATCTGTGTACGGTGTTTATGTTTTATTTTCTGTGGAGGATGGTTGGTAGTATATTAGATGCCAGAGATTTGCTCTAATGTAGTGCTCTGAGAAGTAGTGGCCTAGGAAGGGGAGGGGTTGGGAAAATAGCAACACTGGAGCATGGGGAATAGGGAGGAAGAAGGCAGCAGCAGAACTTCGCATTAGAGAGGCGAGAAAAACAGCAGGGGAAATTTGAGGGTGGTGTGGGGGAAGAAGGGAGTGGAGAAATCAACAATAAAGAGGCACTGTTTAAAATAAAGCTGTCATCATCAAAAGAGGATGCTCCTGCCATAACAGAGCTTCTCTTTACATTGTGAGATTAACCACCCTGTGCTTATTAATGCAAAGTCATCCTCGTGCTGTGTTGAAATAATTTACCAGGTCATAATTTGAGATCTTGGGTCCAAGTGAAGCTAATACAAGGGAGACCTGCAGCTTCTTTCACCTCACAGAGATATTGCAAGCCTCTTCTTTTTCAGAAAAGTAATTTCAGTTTCTTGCCAAATCTGTAAGCAGAATTGCTGTGTAGATACTCTGATACTCTGTCAATAGAGTTTCATAATTGTGGCTCTAAAAGGTATTGCAGTTTTATGTAAGTGGGACATGAAATACAATTCAAAAGGATAAACTGAACAAATAATAAAATTTCATTGATACCTCAAAGTCAGACAATGCTGGAAACAGTGGTAAGATTTCTTGCAGGAAAAAAAAAGTGTCTCCAACTAGGCATATTATTTTCAGCTGTAGTTGATTCTTTTGGTCTAGTTGGTTCTTTTGCTCGCTCCTAGGTTAAAGAAATAAACAAAGCAGTGAAAATTCAGTAATATATGGAATCATAGATTCCTAGAATATATATAATTGGAAGGGACACATCAGACTATAAATGGGTTTTTTTTAATAAAACAACTAAATATATTATTATTAACCTTGGTGCATCAGTTATCTTCCATATTAGATGTAAAAGTATAGGCTTTGCCTGTAACTTGTTTTTGGATTAGCCAATGGAATGAAACTTTCTGCATTGCCAGTGATGTTGTACATTCTTTTATTTTCCATGTTTCTTCCCATCATTTCAATACACACTGCTTTCAGGGAGATTCAAAAGCTTATGGGCAACATTTGGAATGGTTTTGCTTGTTGCAGGTATTTTCCATACTTGGACATGGAGCACAGGCACAGCATACACTGGGTAGTAGATTCCAAACTGCAGGTGGCTCCCTGACAGGCCATTATGCTGTGTTTCAGCATGTTAGTGGCCAGCCTGACAGCCAGTTCAGGATGGCAGTATATCCCTTGCTGATGGTGGGTGCTTGCAGTTCAGTTTCCTCCACTGGAAATTCCTGAATGTCCTTTGTACTGAACAGTGTCTACACAGCTCTGGGCACAGAGGTGTGACAGGGAGTGCTGGGTGCCAATGTGTCCCAGAGAAACCCAGCCTTTTTTTAGGCACTAGAAAGGCTGTAACATCCCCTGTAAGCCTAGTCAAGGCCAGAGTTCTTTCTTTTATTTTGCTGTCACCTCAAGGAAAGAACATACTCAGGAACATCAAAAAGAAGGACCCTCTTTTAATCCTCTCCCACTCTTTTTATTGCCCTTTTGTGGCATTGGTCTAGCAATAAATAAGGCCCCATGCCATGCACATTCACATACTGCTCAGTTCTGCCTGTTACTCAGCAGGGAAACAATAAGTACAGTGTTCGCCCATTAAAAGGAGTTATTATTATGTTTTAAAGTATTCTTAGATTAAACTACCAGGATCGCTGTCATTCACAGGTGACATGTTTTATTTGCATGTATTTGTCTGCTTTGGTGTTTGTCAGTATGAAATGTTTTAATGATATGGTCAAACTGTCAAAGAAAATAAGTAATAATTTTGTTTGATATTACTTAGCAAATAAAAGAAGCAAACTAACGGTACTGAGAGGCTAGGAGTGTATGTATAAGTGTGTAGAGTTGCCTGTTAACACACAGTTCTGTTCCATCTACCCTAATCAGTTGTCTTTGCCCCTTTCTGTTTATTATGACTGTGTTTTTACAGACTGTGGAGGAGATTGAGGGAGTGCTGGGACGTGACCTTTATCCAAACCTGTCTGAGGAGAGGTCTCGGTGGGAGAAGGAGCTGGCTGGCCTACGGGAAGAGAATGAGAGCCTCACAGCCATGTTGTGCAGCAAAGAAGAGGAGCTCAACAGAACCAAGGCCACCATGAACGCTGTCCGTGAGGAGAGGGACAGGCTGCGTAGAAGGGTAAGGCCACTGCACATATGATGCCTTCTTCCTCCAACCTGTGTGATTTTGTCACCAGAACAGGCTTCTCTTTAATCTCACTTCCTGTTCTATAGGCTATAGGACTTTTTGGTTTCAAAGCTGGGCTGTACAAATGACAAAACTAGGACAGAACTGAACATAATTGAAAAAGAGTGTGTGAAAAACAGCCAGTGTGCACAACAGCCTGATTTCAGAAATCAGAAAAACTGATACTCATCTTGAAGGAAGCATACGTAACTTGGATATAGAGAAAGCAGATGTTCATCTAGTGAATTTTCCTGTGAGGCTATTTTTTTCCTGTAAACAACAAATATTTCTTTGTTTTTGATGGGAATTCAGTTTGTGATTAGGAGAAAGAAAAAGAGCAGGACTCCTGTCAGTGGGCAGTAATTCTCATACTGAACAATGAGTAGTTCCAGCTATATCCTGCTTTTCTGTCTACATTTTATGATGCTTTAAGGCCAGATAAAGGCTTTGTGCTTTCTATGGAGTCCAAAGTGGAAAAAAAAGGTGGAAGATTTGTTCACAAAAAAGATGAAAGATCCAAGATAATGTGACCTCAATCTCAGTTACTTTTAAAATTTGTTTACTTTGTACCTGTTGAATATACAGAATTTTGTTTAGATAGCAAGTTTTTTTTATTTTTAAAGCAGGGAGTTTCAAGTTTGCGTTCAGTCTAAATGTAAATTCATATCACCATATCATGGTAAAATATTGCAAGTATTACTCTTTACCTGTTGGCAGCAGATTAGCTTTTTTTGCTATTCTAAACCAAAATTGTTCTGCAGTGACTTTGCCATTATAGCATGAACCTGCATCGTGTGAGATTTGCAGTCTTTGGGTATGAAGCCTCAAATTACCTTTGCAAAACTCACTGTCTTCTCCTAACACTAAAAAGGAATGCGTGATGAGGCAAGAATAGTAATCTCATATCATATAAAGCAAGACCACTTCTTATTATATATCATAGGTTGTTTTCAGTCCTGAAATTTTTGGACTGATACAATTTTTTTTAGTGGAGGCAATACTACCCCTTGAGCTACAGAAGTAGCATTTATGGACTGGCTGGATTGTTGCCCAGTTGAGGGGGTGGACAGCAACACAAGCAGGCAGAGAATTAAAGTGTGTGCTTGAGAGCTTTGCTTACACAAATGCAGTTATTGACATTCCAGGTGACACAGATCAATACTGAGATATCAAACAGGAGAAAGATAGGTGGCCTTGAGTATACAAAAAGATGCCCGTTTTGAGAAGTATGACTTGCAAGTTAAGGGGCATAAAAGGATAGTACCAAGAATTTATGCTGACATTCAGGAGATCCTCAGTTGAGAAACAGAAAAGGGGAAGGAATTGGTGTTGTACACTCAGAAATCAGCATGGCTGAGCCATAGGAGCAAATTCAGTCCTATGAGGTACCACAGAAGTTATTTTCAGTAGGGGTTGGAAAAACTGTATAAAGAGTGGTGAGATCTGATCTGGATTGTTATGTGTCATTCTTACTCTCTTAAAGCTCTTAAAGGTGCAGTTTAAATTGGCAAAAAGAATACATAGACAATGGTCAGAGAAATGGTCATTGTTTGTAGAGTAGGGACTTGTCCTGTTCAGCATGGCAAAACAAATTCTTAATTTTTTTTTCTTTACAAATACTAGAGAAACAAACAAAAGAAACCCAAAAAAACAAACAAAAAAAAAACCAAACAAACCACAAAACAAAAAAAAAAAAAAAGGAGCAATGTCTCTCTAAACTTAGGAACAAGAACCACTTGTGGCTGTATGAGGCCAGAAGTTAGACTGTGAGGTGTCCAAGACACAGGAAGATTGTAATTCTGAAGAACCAGCAAGGAGTAAAGCTACTGACTGCTTTCTAAATGGAGCTTTAAAATATTAAAGTTATGTTTGTATAATGAAATACATTACTATGCAAAGATACCTGTTAAAATCAGGATCATTAATTAGGATTGTATCCGAAGAAAAGCACAAAAAGCCAAGTTAACACAGCTGCATTAATTATAGAGCCAGCCTTAGCATCTTTTCACGATTCTGCTATGTTTTGTCTGGCTGACAGCATTTCTGGTTCTCTATTATGGAGGCATCTCTGATGGCAGCAGAATTAATATGATCAGTTTGTTTCAGTTGTTTGTAACTACAGAGGACTTTACTGAAATCTGGTAATTAATATAATCCTTATCATGCAGAATAACTGATTTATTACCCCCACCAGAGAAGTTAGTTTGTGACATATGACCCTGTCTGCACTCTGTGTAATTCTTGCACTGGAGACCATATTTGCATTTTTAATGTAGCTTCATGTCCATAGTGACAACAAAATAAATGTTTTCTTTGACCTATGAAATATTTTCTATATGCCACCTGAACTCAAAAGTCACTTCAAATTATTTCCCTGGAGAGTGGGAAAGGAGATCCAAATAAAATTTAGTTATTGTCCTTCTCAAATTAAATTGGGTGGAGTGAACAAGCTTGAAGTTGACCAGATCAATAGGTCTGTTGCTTCAGACCAATGCCTGTAATCAAGCAGAGTGCTTTCAATACATTTTTCTCAGGCTTGTTGGAGATTTAATTTAATTAGGTATTTACTGCGCTCAGTTAACAGATTGAGCTGCTCTCTGGAACAGTAGCTAAGAAACATCATACATTCAGAGTTTGTTTCTCACAGGTCATTAGCGAGTGAGGTAATTGCTTACTTCTGTAGGTTGTCTGCAATGTAACAGTTAATTTCATAATGCAGAGGTTTATTTTACCTCTGCATTATTTTGCTGCATTAAAAATAGTATCTATTTGGGTCCGGGCTGGTCAGTGCCCTAGAAACTGCTTACATATAGCTGACCATAATCCCGAATCCAGTAATACAGATAAGATGGTGGAGATCTTCTGTACCAGTCTGTGCGATTAATATTATTACGTGAGAATAAGGCTGTAATCGGGTCAGCACTATTTACAACTGCTATAGAGAGTAACAGGCTTAAGTAGTAGAAGAAAAAAGTTACTCAAAAGCCCTTGTATTCAGCAGGGGATTCAGATGAGCAGCAGTGAAACAGCAAATAAGCTCCATCCTGATGGTAAAGTAAAAATTGTGGGTTTTTAAATTACTGCCTATAAAAGTTGTCAGATGAGTGGTACCCCAGCACAGTCTTAAGGAGTTGTTTGGCATAAAAGGCAGTGGATGTGGGCAGCATTCAGGCTTTCCTGAGGCTGTTCTGAAGAACTAAGTCTGAAGTGAAAAGGCAGTTCCAGCTCTGGAAGTCTGTTAAGTCTGTTCTGCATGAGCCATATGTCAGCTTGTTCAGATAATCCTATGCTTCTAGTTGTGAAAGTTGTTCTAAACCTTCTCCAAACTCAGCTGAAATCACCAAACTGACCAGAAAAAAAACCACTTGTCTTCAGCTAAGACCCTAATGGAAACATAATGTGTGTAGTAGTAGAAAATCAGCATTTTATGTGTGATCTAATCAGCTGCCTGTATTTCCTGCTCCAGAGAACTTTAATTTGAGCAGAGGGCTCTCCAAAAATAGATGGTTCTTGCGAACAGTTGAAACCTACCCCTGCCACAGCAGGACTCAGATCCTTGGTCTTGCAGGTGTTCTTGGACCTACACTGTTCTCAGATGACACAAAGCTGGCAAGATCTGCTGGACTCTGTTTTGTAGTCATTCCCATTGGGATCAAAAGTTATTGTTCCAGATTGCTGGAGAACACTGATACATTATGAGCCCTTAGAGATTATTATCTGCTTGTACAGCTTAAAGTGACCCTGGAGCTGTTCTGTCTCCTTTATCTCGATGAGCACCAGAAACCTGAGCTAGCAGCCCAAAGCTATTTCCATTCTCTGCACCCTTCACTTGCTTGGTATTTGCTTATGCAGCAGCATCTCCTCCTGGGTGTCAACTAATTAGTTTTACTTCTGATTCCAAGCTTGCATGCAAATACTCAGTGTTTAATTGCCCTTAGAGATACCAGGAAAGATTTCTTTACCATACTCAGTTGATCACAAAAAATACATAGAAACTCAGCAAATTTTGTTTGCTCTGGTGCTCATGATATAGCAGAGGCAGAAAATTATCTGGCTGAAAATCAATGAAAGGTAGGGGATTTTTTTTGCCTGGGAAAGACTCTCACCACTCAGAGCAGCTCAAATTGTTACATGAGTGTTAGATTTGGCATCTTCTCCTCCACAGATCGGCAGTATGCATGAATAAATTAGAAAGTGGGAGAAGTTCACTCCCTGTAGTTTGTTGTATTTTGTCTTCCTCCACTGTATAATAGGGGAAAGGAAATGAAGCGGCATTAAAATGCTGAGGGGGAAAAGTGCTTTTACTTGAAGGGTTCAAAGGTACTGTATGATGAAACAGGTCACAAGTAGGATAGAATGAAAATAATCACGAGCATGTCCCTCATTTGAAACTGGTTTAGAAACAAAAGCAGCAGGTGTCCTCTGAATGTGGAAATCAGTGATAGAAACAGGCAGTTCATAGCTGTGGTGTTTTATTGAGGATATGTTAATGACTCATGTAGTTGTCACTATGCATGCGCAAAATAAAAAGACTAAAAACATGCTTCTCATGGTTACAAATAATGAAAATATTCCACTGAAATATTTTTCTGTAGGCCATGATGCATTTGGACAAGCATGTCTGTGACATCTGTTAATAGTTTATTAAGTCTTTCATAAATTGAACATTGCTATATATTGTCAGCCCCTTTTCTCTTCTACTCTTACTTTCTTTTTATTTACTTCTTAAGGTGATAAGAAACTACCTTTAGTATTTCAGTATTTCCTACTCCAATTCTCAGCATTCAAAGGAAAAAAATAGGAATTCAGCTCAACAGTTGGTTCAATTGCAAAACATCAAATATTTATAAGTGAGATTTCGAGTTACTTTTGTTCGCATTAATAGCTTGAGAACATCTGTTTGCACCTGACCTTTTTTTTGTATCTAGGCTATTCATTACTCTGAAACCTAATGATTCTGTTGCCTTGTGTCTTACTTAATGAACCTGCTCCTGCTTTTTCCAGGGTTCCATCCAGAACTTCTTATTTCCATTAATTTCTTGGACTTCCTTCAATCACGTGGAAGATCTTTCCATATCTTTTTTTCTGGATTTCACAGACATTTCCCTGGATTTGTCCTTTTCCCCTTCATTCTCAAATCCTTTTTTTTTTTCCTGACCACATAATAAGATCTGCTTGCCAGACAGTTTCCACCTCATTTTAGTGCTTCAGGAGTTTATGGCAATTTTTATACCCTTCTGTATGTTTGTTTTTAAACTAGTGTGATGCAGGGATTCAATAAATTTTTCTTTAAATCCTTCTTGGTTATTTCTCCTCCCAGACTTAGAAATCCACATTCTTCCTGTGTTATAATATAACTTTTTTGGGTTTGTTTTTATACTAGTCTTTGCCCATTGCATTTTGCCAGTTTTGTCATCGATTTCCTGTAAGACATTCCTTTCCTCTCTCTCCCATTTCCGAGTGTTTATTGTGTCTCATGTGCAGTGCTGCAGTTTGCCTTCATTCTATGAGTTAACCTTCCGAATAATTTATATTACATTGGTAATGATGCTAAAGACTTGACACAAGGGATCAGACAATTTTTAATCCCGCCTTTAAAACCACTCTTTTTATAACCGGTGGATTCACCAAACCAGAGAATAAAATGGCTCTTCTGAACTCTGATTTGAGTTTGGGATATTTTTTCTCTCTGGTCATTCTTTATTTTTTCTGTAGAATACCTACCAGTGTGGAAAAGTACTTTCTGAAGAGATGCTGCATATGTCTCTATTATAAAGGGAGGTTTTGATGACCAGAAATAGTTACCTAATGTGTCTCTGGGCAGTGTGGAAGATGGGCAGCACAGCCATGACATGCTTGGTGAATGTGGGAATTGTGAGATGTGTGATTTTACCAGTCAGACAAACTTGTCCTGTTATCCTGCTCAGAATTAGCATCCATCACTCAGTGTTGCTAAAATATGTGCAGTTATTTATAGCAGTCAGTTCAGCATGTAATTTCATAAATGAAGGCCTGACTTAGTAAATATATCAGGAAGGACAGATAAGCAGGCAGCTTGTTTTCGTGGTTGCTTCTATGATACAATATTAAAGCAGTAAGTTGCACAGATGAATAACTGTGCTGTACTCTAAATTTTCTTCTAGAAGTGCTTTTCTGAGCAAAATTTTACCTGACTACACTCTTAAATGTGTTAATTTCTTTCTGTTGCCAGTGTTGTTTTACAGAGTTGTATGATTAATTAGCTTTGTAATCCTTGCCAATAGTCACTTCACAGTAAGAAAACACAGAATAAAGGAAACCTATCTGCATTAAAGGTTTGTGTGATATTGTCTTTGCATAAGGTAGTTCTTAACTTCAGCGTCTACAAACACTTGGCATTTAAGCAACTTTACCACTCTCTTTCCTGGCTGCACTTAAAATATTACTTGCTTTTGAACTGCAATCTTCCAGGACTGGCTTCTGAGCATAGATGAATATTTTAGCAATTTTTAAACTGGACATGGAGGCTGGGGTTTTATTCTATAAAGAATACATCCAAACGGTCTTCCTATTTGTTTGCTTTTAAACAATGCTGTAACTTAAGCACTTGGAGAATTTCATTTGGTACAGCCTGGGTTGAAAGAAATAGTAGTAAATGGTAATTTTGACTTAATGAAGTTTTGGGGTTGCTTTTTTTTTCCTCAGTGTCAATGCCACAGTACAAATCCTGTCTGTACTGACATTTCACATCTGCAAGCAAAAATATGCATGCGTGGTTTATTTTAGGTTTATGCATATCAACAGGCTGAAATTATTGGATTGCAGCAGTAGAGCACTTTTGTCCTTCAGGTTTGCATTAGTGCAGCTGTACCCGTGTTGAAGCTAAATATGTTTGTATGAACAAAGGAGGCCTCAGCTGCAAATATGTAAAAGATTCTTGCTATGAATGTCCACTTCATACATTTTGCTCAGTTAACTTTGTGAGATAATTGCATTTATGATACATAATTCTGGGTCAAGCACCCATATCCATTTTTCAGTAAGTTACTTTTAACACTGGGGGATTTGAGTTGAGGTTTTATGTACTTTAGTTGTTTGGAATTATTTTGTTCAAGGTGTAACACTCCTCCACAACTCAACAGGGAACTTAGAAGTGCAGTGTGACTTTATATGTTATTATTGTTGCTACTTATGGCTTTTTTGAAATACCATGTTATGTAAAATGCACAGACTTTTTTTTTCTTTTTTTTTTTCAAATCTGTAAATACCTAAAAATTCTTTTGACACTAAATGTGCACATAGTCTGTCCTTCAGTTTGCATACAACAGAGGGAGAGGCAGGGATACTTTTCAGGAAATAGAAGCAGGCTGTAGAGGATTGTAGGAGGCATAAAATACTGCCTTGGTGACTGGAGAGCATTCTGCCTTGAACTCTTTCCTCTCTGCAGTAGGTTGAAGCATCTGTTGTGCAGAGAACACGACTACTGCTGCTGCTTCAAGCAGAGATTGATAAACACTGTTCAGATGCACCTACACCTAAGAAAGTCTAAGCTTTGATGCAACTTTAATTTTGGGTTTTTTTGACTAAAGGACTTCAGCTTGCTTAGTCTTTATATGGATGTATTTTAGTATAAAATCCTACCTTTCTTTAGACATTAGGAACCACAGTTGCATTTCATGCTGCATACAAGGGAAGATACCAAATGGACTGAACTTTACTTGACTGGACTTCTGATAAAATTTCACAAGTTCAAGTTTTGTAGAGGGACTTTTCCAACAAAATTGTGTAGAAACCATTGTATTTAAGGACAACTGCGTTCAGGGGAATTTCCTCTTTAGATGGTTTCCTTTACCTTCTCCCATCTCACATTCTGTTTGAGATCTGTGGGAAAAGTGAGCTCTGACTCTTTACCTTCTGCCATAACTGTTGCATTAAGCAGACCATTTATTCCTTGTCTGTTAAGAATTATTCCAAGGTAATCACCATAATCTTTAGCACAGCTATAGTTTGGCTCCTGCAGACCTTTCTTTTTTTTTTTTTTTTTAACCTTTAAACTGAAAATCTTTTGACATCAGCTCTAAAAGTATCAGATGTTATATGAGGACCATGCAGTGTTTGCAGCGTACGTTTACAGAGAGCTTTTGCAGACTGTTGGTTGAATACTTTGCTGGTATTTTTTTTTGTTTGTATATTACTTACTAAATGGTAGTTTTAGTTGACTGTAGTTTAAAAGCATGATTAATGTTTGAATTTCTTTAACCTTTAAATATGACCAAGTCGTCATGTGATTTATTTATGTCAGGAGTTTTTTTTCAGCACTGGAGTTTTCCATTAACAGGAGGATTGTAATTTGATTTGTTTAGCCATCATCATCTTACACTGGAGCTTTAGCTTTACCCCAGAGAGAATTATTTCTACACCTATAGTACAGCTGAAACTTTGAGTACTTATTCTACAGTATTCTGCATATTTCCACATTGCACATAGTTTAAAAATCTGATAGGAGTAGGATTTTTAAATAACCTCTACTCATCTGCTCCCCACGTGAAAACTTCACAGCCACCAAAGTACAAAAATGTAACTTCCATGATGGAGACAGAAGCAATTAGATTGGGCTAGACAATGAGAAAATCTCCAGACTATTTAAACCATAAAAGTGGAAAAATCAGAATGTTGTGTTTTACTGCAGGTTCGGGAGCTGCAGACTCGTTTGCAGAGTGTGCAGGCCACGGGCCCGTCCAGCCCGAGCCGCCTGACTCCTGCCAACCGCCCCGTCAACCCCAGCACAGGAGAGCTGAGCACCAGCAGCAGCAGCAACGACATTCCCATCGCCAAGGTCGGGTTTGTGTTTTTGTGACCCTTTTCATGACCTGGGAAAAGCAGGCTTCGTTTTGTGCTGTGCAAACATGGAATTAGCTGGAGACGTTTAGGGGAGTCCTGAGCAGGTGAACATGAGCTGTGGAAAGGAATTAAACATTATTTATTGTAGTTCTCTCAGTTATAATGCAGGACTCAGTTCTCTAGTAGTTTGCTTCAGCTTTGCAAGTGTAACTAGAGAACAGATGGGGTTTGTGTGATCTTTATGGGGTATGGGCTGCTGTGTAACCTGTGCAGCATTCTGACTTACAGATTGCTGAAAGAGTGAAGTTGTCAAAGACAAGATCAGAGTCTTCATCATCTGATAGACCTGTCTTAGGATCAGAAATCAGCAGCATAGGGGTAAGGACTAAGAACTGTGTGCTTGCATGATCCATGTTCCAATAAACGCATTGTTTTCTTAATAAAATTAATATGTTTACTATCTCAAAATACTTTAAAAGCTAGTTTGAGCAAAAATATTTTAACAAAGAATATTTCACCCAGTATTAGGATCTCATTTTCCCAAAACCAGTGGATAGAAGTCATTCTCATGACTGACTTCAAGAGAAAAATTTTCGAGTCAGTTCCACCAAAATATTCTTCAGAAATATTCTCCAGTTTCATTTCACAACTTTCAACCAACAGCAAGCTGGATTCTGCTTTTGAAATGCCAATGTAAATCAATAACGCTGTTGTTACTGTGTGTTAATATTTCTTTTACTGAAGAACTTGGCTCTAACCCTTTGCTAAGCTCTCAAGAACTTAAATAACTTGCATAGTAGGCTTTTTAAATGTATAATGAAATAGTGGACTTTCCCCTTGTTAGTAGAATTTTAGGAACAAAATGGCTTCTAAAGGTGGAATCTTGTAAATGTTCTATTCAGTGTAAAGCTCATAACAAAAACTGAATAATGAATGCATTGAAGTGAATGCATGCAATCAAATGCAGTTCTTAATGCAGAAAGTATCTGGGAGAAATCCAGTGGATATCTCTTCACAATGATCTATTAACTGCCCCATGCAGGTCTCTAGTACAGTGGCTGAACATTTGGCACATTCCCTCCAAGACTGCTCAAACATACAGGAAATCTTCCAGACTCTCTATTCACATGGATCTGCTATCTCTGAAAGTAAAATCCGAGAGTTTGAAGTGGAGACGGAGAGATTAAATAGGTGAGCTAGAAATTTAGTTGTCCTCTCTTAGCTTCATTAGAGTTGACTGCTTTTTTACCCTTTTTGAAAATTTCTTAGTTTAATATCAGTTCAGCTGTGGCAGCTGCAGATAACCATGGAATGTGCTTGCTGAAGAGGAGATTGAATTGTGTGCTAAGGATTCTTTCCATGACTATAAGCTTGTTTGTGCATTATCAGATCAGTACAGCACCTTCCTGTATCTGTACTCTGGAGTGTCCCTTTCTGTGGCTGGTCAAGTAGTCACGGCACCTTTTTTCATAAGACATATTACTCCTTGAAATAAGGACTCCCATAACTTAGTCTGCATCATTCTGAAATTAGCTTGCTTTGTTTTGTCCTGAAGAAACAGAATAATAACATTTAACTGTCTTAATACAGGTACTGATACTTGGTGGTGTAGCAAATAGGTTTCTGTCTGCAGAAGATAGATTACGGCTTTCTGGTTGCAGTTGAAACACTGCTGGTGTTATCCTTTAGCAAGCTCTATACAAACCAGTATTTCATGTCTTTTTTGGCACATAAAATCAAATCTGGATCAGGAGTATAAGAATTGTGTCTCAGCACGTCTTTATCCAAATTCTGTCTTCCCCACAGCTAGCTAGGCTCAAATTTAGTCTGATGAGTACAGTATCTCTTTTTATTTACAGGTTGTGTTTTTGTACTGCTGCAAAACTTTTTTTTTTTTTTTTTCTTTTTTTTTTGCACTGCACAATTATGCTTTGACAACATGTATCATTATAGAAGATGTCAAGATACAGAAAGTGGCAGTTCTAGCATCTAGAAAAGTCAGGGCTTTGTTCTGATAAACATATATACTAGCTCTTCTCAGTCTTCTTTGTCAAGAAGTTAGTGATTTCAGAGTCCTGGATGGCATGGATTTCTTAGTTAACTACCTGTACAAGGTTTCTAATTGTTTGTCTCTCTGGTTTTGGCATATATCAAATTTTTACAGTTAGGTAAAGTATATTGATGTGTGGTTCAGCAGAGAGAATAAACAGTAATAGTGATACTCTGAATCTTCATTTTCATGTTCAGAGTTAATTTCATTGTGGGAGGGTATTACAGTTAAGCTTCTATTTGACTTTTGCCAGAACATTTGGAGGTTACATTGCCTCACTGAAACCTCATTTGTAGTTTGGAAGTTGCCTCTCTAATCACAACCCAAACATGACTTCAGGTGGAATGGTTACTCTGGATTTTCAGAAGAAAGAAGGCATTTATGCAACTGCATGATCCCTGCACACACCCATAATCACACTAATGAATATGCCATTTAAAACAAGTTGCAAATGTGGCAGCAGAAAGTGAGGAATGAAGGCAGAAAAATTGAGCAAAAGGTTAATATGAAACTGTCCTATGCAGTCTTGTGGCTGCAAAACCAGGATACAGCTTTCTGCTTGCTGCTGCTGCACAGGGTTATGACTAAGTTTTATGGGGAGGAGAAGAGGATGACCTAAGAGAAATTTCTATCCTCTTGCCTTCTGATAGGATATACAGAACTGATGGATTTTGCCATCTTCATTAAAAAAACACTTTTGTAGACTATGAAATTTTTGTTGTTTTGAAGTGTGACTGTCCTAGAATTTTCAGGACAGTGACTGCAAGTTAAGCTTGAAGGTTGCAAATTACTTAATTTTTTTGCAGCCGTATTGAACACTTGAAATCCCAGAACGACTTGCTGACAATAACACTGGAGGAGTGCAAGAGCAATGCAGAGAGGATGAGCATGCTTGTGGGCAAGTACGAGTCCAATGCCACGGCCCTCAGGCTGGCACTGCAGTACAGGTATGTACCTACACAAGGGGCTCAGCCAGGAAGAGGGAGCTGGGGGAGACTTGGTAGAAGTGTTCAAGAGTGAAGTTGATGGTGTGCCATAGTAATACTGTTTATTTTTTTTTCCTGCCTGAAAAGGCACCACTGCCTGACAAACTACCCAACTGAAGTTATTCTTACAGGGTATTTCAACTGCTGTTGACCAGCATCTTACAGGAATGTAGAGGTTTTATCTCTTCATTCTTAAGTACTGAATTAGTATTTGAATTAGGGGTTGTGTGTAGACTGAGGCTGTGTTGCTAAATCCAACCTTAAGATACAGGTTCTCTGTACTTTCCCAAGACCAGTGGAGCAGAGATTGTTAAACTCCACATAACTCAGAATGACTTTGTATCACATCAGTTGGAGTTGTGGATTAATGGCTTGGTATTTGGTAGTAAGTATGTAAATTTTCACGAAACTGTTCACAAAAATACAGTGTCACTTGACACCTTCAACTGCAACTAATTTTGGACAGGCAGATTTGGTCTTGGAACAAATCATCTGCCTTTTTAAGAATGTATTCTTTTACTATCAGCCTTGAGCAAAGAACTGTAAATTGCTAATAGTATATTAGTATGTATTTTTAAAAACATTAAAATGCAACAGGGATTGTATGACTCATAAATAGAATTGGAAGCTCTTCTGTCCTAAGGAGGAACATCTTACAGTCAGGACAGAACAAGAAGTATTTTTCTTGCCTCTTTTCTGCTTACAACACTGTGTAGTATAATTACATTGTAGAGTATAGAATACTGTATGCTTCATAGTAAGACACTCTGGGAAAAATTTCTCAAAGGGATCATCTTGACTGCTGTTTCTATTGCCACCTGTTTAAAACATACTTCTGGAGCTTCCTTTATTTTGGGTCACTCTCTTATCTTTTGCCTTGTTACATTTCTTGAGGTCAGCCTGTCACTGCTACAAGAATGGGGAGACTGCTGAATGCTTGTGATAGAAGCTATGTGTATCATGTTCTTTAATAACCCTGCTGCTAGACAAGTAGTAGAGAATCATGCAGTTAATCAGACAGCTCTTTTTTTGTTGTTGCTATTGCAGGTATTGTTCTTCTTTAAAATTGCAGTTAACATTTTTTGTGGTTTTTGTTTTCCCTTTCAGTGAACAGTGCATAGAAGCATATGAGCTGCTGTTAGCATTGGCAGAAAGTGAGCAGAGTCTCATTCTTGGCCAATTCAGAGCTGCAGGTGTTGGTTCTGTTGGTAAGATGTCAATGTATCACTTAATTTAAGTGTTGTTTTGGCATGTCACTTAGCATTGGTTGTAATGGTGAATCATGTCATCACCCATTACTTAAGAATGTTCTCCAGTAATTTCTTGGTTTTAACTATTTTAATTATTTTATACTCCCCAAAAATAGAGGTAAAATGCAAGAGAGCAATTTTAATTCACCTGTGTTGCTTTCACAAGGAGATGCCTCTTCTGGCAGGGGTGAGATTGTTGTAGGCGTGCAACTGTACAGAGTGGAATAATTAAACAATACCAGTGAGCACGGTGGCTTAGGGCTGTGCAGCTGTGGTAGTTGCAAGTCCAGATTCACTAAGATTGACTCCCCAGAAACAGTCTAATCTGTGAAAAACTGAGATTAAAATAATACAAGGGTAGCATTGAGTAGTTAGAAATAAAAATTGTTTTTAAGGCTGTAGTTTTTCACGCCGTTTTACCTTTGCTGTGGAATTTTAAAACATTCTATCTTCTGTTTAGCCTGTATGTTCTGTGCTTAGTTAATCCTGTGGCTAGGTGTTGTTTTTTAATATGCTGCCTACTAAATAATGGAACAAGCCACTATCATAGGTACAGTACAGTTCAGAAATTTGGAGCTTGGCATTGCTGCTGGCTCCATTCTTCTGATAGAAAGAGGTGATTGCACAATGAAATTCCAGTGTTAATAGTTCCATTCCTTTAATTGATAGGAGAAGGCAGTCATAGTAATCTTCAAGTAGAAAGAAGCATTCAGAGGGAGAATAACTGTTCATACTGTGCTGATGCATAGCTGGTGTGTTAGGAGCACTGGCTCCTCAGTAGAGGGGATGTCTGAGATTTTCTTCTACCTTTCTCCAAACTCTGCTATTCCCTCCTACAATATGCTAGGGAACTTCTCCCAGCTGGCAGAGATCAGTGAGTAGCAAAAGTGAATTTAGGCTAGGATGTTCTATTAATGTAGGTGGTAGAAAGAAATCTAATAAGGAAGAAATGCTTTGGGTTTGAGTAGGATTTCATCTGACATGCATTTTATGGAAGAGACTGTAGTTAAATTTTTATGTAGGTATCTGTCTACAGCTCTTAATTGTCAGTTACAGCCCTGAGAAATAGTGCAAATTTGCCATTACCCAGCACAGCGTGGAGGAAGTTGTGTATGTTTTATGTAACTGTACTTCATTATGAAATTTGATGAACACACCTAGATAAAATAACAGATTTTTGGTTTGAAGATCAGTTAAACTTTATATCAACATCTGTGAGCAGAAAATCCATGGGAGTTACATCACTTAAAGATGAGCATATCCAGCTTCTCTTAGCAGAGCATTCACCCTTCCTTTCTTCCTCATTAATGTTACTTCTAGTGCATACACTTCACTCAACAAGTGTGCACTAAAGGTAATTGACTTGAACAAGGATTACATGAAAATCTAACACATGAGCAAGCTGTTGGGTTTTGCTAAAGTACAAATATATTGTAGCTTAATCTACAAATACATTTGTAGATTTTCTGTGTAGCCAATAACATGTCTTAATTTAATTACTTGACTGCAGTGCAGCTGGAAGACTGTAGGAGTAGTGACAGTGGTGGTTTCAGTCCTGCTTCTCCTGAAGTTTACCAGCTACATGGGTGCTGTATAACCACTAAAAATTATAGCAATTTAACCAGGGCTAGTTTTCTTTTGGCTTAGTATGCGTGACTGTAAAATGTGAGAGTGTGCTTCTGAGCAACAGAGCAATTCTTCTGTCTGGCCAGGTAGCCTGTAAGAAAGGTGTTCTGGCAAACCATCAGGCTTGAGATCAAGGTGCCTGGGAGAAGTTATGGAGATGACTACTCTGTGAAACCACACTGCACCGACTGGAGTAAGAGTTGTAAATGAGGCTGAGGCTTTTCCAGTGTGTTCATAATTAGAGCATCCAAACCTAATGCTAATGCAGAATGCACACCCATTACAAATAGACAAGCTAAAATTTTGCATCACTTAAGACATGTTGCCTGGAGCCATAAGTACCTGGAGCTTGTGACTAGGAGCAGGGTACATTCAGGCCAGTGTCCCAGTTAATCACTGGTGCTCAAAAAGAAGCGAAGTTGCTTTTAGTTCATAGATTGGTAATTTATTGTCATTGTCTTAGTATAAACTGAGAGCGAGTAGAAGGATCTCTTGCCTTAATTCCTGACTGAAACATTGTTTTCTTAAAAACAGGGGACCAGACAGGTGATGAAAATGTCACACAAATGCTTAAGAGGGCTCATGACTGCCGGAAGACAGCTGAGAATGCAGCAAAAGCCTTGCTGATGAAGTTGGATGGGAGCTGTGGGGGAGCCTATGCAGTCACAGGCTGCAGTGTGCAGCCCTGGGAAAGCCTATCCTCCAACAGCCACACCAGGTAGCTGTAACTCTTCTGCTCTCCTAATCTCCTAAGCTTTGATTCCAGACAAAAAGTTATGTTCTATTGTATTTGCTGTGCTACCTTACCTCACCTCAGTCCTTTGGCTTCTGTGCTTTGATTTGTAAGTTGCCATGCCTCAGTGGTCTAATTGTCTTTGGACTTTGAGGAACTCCAGCCAAGAAGAGTTTTGTGCAAATTTGTTGCAAATGGGTTGCTTAGAACTTTGATCTTCCTTATAAAGGGCAAAACCATTACATTTGTTTTACTACAGTGACTTTCTTACTGTTTTATTGGAACTCAAATCATGTTCTTGTTACTCATATCTATTGTATGCAGATAGCATGGATGTGCAGAGAACCAGAGATCTGAAACAGGCTTTCACTGGAGTTCTCAAGAATTGTTTTCTAAATGTTGCAAATCTAGCCATCACTTTTAAACCATTTCCCCTCCCTTCTCTTTCGTTACCCTTTGCACCCCTCCAAATTATTCCTTCTCATCCTGTTCTTTTCACTCATGGCGTGGAATAGATTGGATTCTTCCAGGAAGGGCTGGATACTGCAGTTTTTCTGAAGACCTATAAAATAATAAAACATAGATGAGCTATTATTGCAGAAGTGCTCCAGTTCAAATATATCTACCAGGAGCTTCATTTTGAGTTTTTGCCTGCCTCTGGTATAATTGTACTCTGCAGTAAATATGTGTGCTTGTGCATGGATACAAATTTGGCAAGTGTCCTGGATAAATATAGATGAGCATTTTTCTCTTTAAAAGTTATTTTTGCTTCTCAGATTTGCTCTAAAACTTCATTTTAATTCAGTTTTCTAGCCAGTTCTTTATTCAAATGCTGTCATTTTTTTGACACTTCAGAAGTTTATTTTGGTACTGTATCATTTCCTCTTCTTGCTGATGCCTCCTCCAAAGGATCTTATTTCCTGCCATATGACTGGTGTGGAATAGCTAAAAAGGGAGCAAAAAGGTAATCTGAGGGAACAGGGTCCTAATGTGAGGTGAATTTTAATGTTTTATCCAGAGAAGTTTTCTGGTGCACTCTCAGTGCACTAAAGCTGTGTCTTTACATAGAAATGATTGTGGCAGCATCTGTCCTAGTAGCACACTTATCACACTTTCTACCAAAGCATTTAAACCAGGCTAGAAAGAAATTACGTGAAGCTGTTTCAAAGATTTGGTTTGCTATATTTTAGGCCATATCTACCCCTGTATGCAAACATGTTATCTGTGTCTACCTGTAACAGTAACACCTGTACCTAAGCCAAGCTTGTTTCCCATTCTATGGTTTGAAAGAGTCATTTTCAGTTTTTCAGAACTATCTCAGTGTTTTTGTTCCTTGTGAGATAGTGGCATGTAGTCAGGGTATAGTGATTTTTTTTTTTTTTCTTGGAAACAGTTCAGGCAGTTTCCAGTATTGACAGGGAAGAACTGGCAGGGAGGGGGATTGTTCCTGTTTCAGTATTTGCTTTCCTAGACTTGCACTGAAAGTGTTTGGTAGGAACGTAATCTCTACAGTTCTTGCTTGCTTTAGAGAATTTTTGGGAGGATAAGAGTCTGTGTTTGTGTCTGTGTTCAGTGGTGGTCAGCTGGACCTCTGTGTATGTGTCCATGTAAGATGTTGGCTCAGTAGATGAAGTTTCAGCAGAGTATGTTTAAAGTGGCATAGAATTTAAAATGTCATCAGGATAAGCTATGTCATGAATATGAAAATGCAAATTTAGTGTTTTAATATTAAAGAAATGTTTTATCTTGAATCACTATTATCATTGTGGTATTTTTTCTGGTGTGGAGCAAAATATTGTGCTGAACGAGGTAACTTCTACAATTTCTTTTTATATATGTGGAATATAGGAGATAAAAGCTGATGTCACTCACCCAGAGAGCACATAGCAAGTCAGGAATTTGTGACATCGGCACCCTGATCTGATTGTTACCTACAAATTGTTGTCCCTCTCCCCTCCCCCATGCCCAAAGTAGTTTATCTTTGCCTAAGCATACGTATCAATGAAGACATTTTTGAAACTTCAGCTTCTCCAGAAAACGTAAATCTCTTCTTTCCTTCTGTTGCATTCACATGACACATGGTTAGAGGTGTTTTCAGATTTTTGCTACCCTGTCTCAAAAGAGAGGAATCCCCTCTTCAGCTTATAGACACAAACACTGTGCTACCATATTGATGAAATACCTGTCTTGGTTCCAAAGACATATACTTTTCTATATCACAGAACCACAGAAATCAAGTTTGGAAGATATCTTCAAGGTCATCCAGTCCAACCATTACCCCAGCACCACCATAACCACCCCTAAACCTTATTCCCGAGTGCCACATCCAAAAACCTCTTGAACACTTCTAGGGATGGCAACTCGACTGCTTCTCTGGGAAATTTATTCCAGTGTCTGAAGATTCTGTCAGTAAATTTTTTTTTCTAGTATCTAATCTGAAACTCCTCTGGCACAATTCAAGGTCATTCCTCTCACCTCTAGTGAGTGCTATGTGACCACTGCCCACCTGGGCACCATTGCAAAAATAATTTTACAGTATTCAATTAAAACCTACTTTGAATCTGCAAAACAGATTTTTCTTGCTTTTGATGTTTCAGTGTTGCAGGCTTTTAATTGCAGATATGTATTGCTGCCTTTTCCCTTTGAAACTAAATTAATAAAGTGGCAGTAGGATGATGAAAACAATCCTTTGCTGAGACTTGTGACAAATGACTAATTCTCCCTGTTGTTTGAAATCCTGTAGAATATGGATTTACAGTGGAATTGTTGACCCATCTTGGGCTTTGAAATTTCAGATGAGATTCTGAATCAAATCACTGAATATGTTACTGAGAGTAAGTGCTTGGTGAGCCACTAGTGACGAGTGGTTAAAGACTTTAAAAGGGAGCAACTGAAATGAAAATAAATAAAAGGCAATAAAAGAGCATCTAAATTCATTTGACTGGCAGCAGCACCACAATAATGTTGCCAATTCAGTTCTTGAAAATATAAATCAGTTTGCAATATAGTTGGAAATCATAATTATTTTAAATGGACGGAAGCTAAGTATAGAACATACACTGCCAGCAATGTTAGATTTACTGCACCTTTGGAAGGAAACAAAAGGGAAGAAGCCCAGTTGTAACACTGTCAGAGAATGGTGTATTTTATTCCAGGCTTTGCTAGTAAGCTCAACCTTACCTCTGGGTTCATGGGAGGACAGATCAGGTTCCTTATGTGGAAAAGCAATTCTTTTCAGTATTATGCAGTGTCACAAAATATCTGAACTCAGTCAACGGTAGGAGTAGATCTCTCATCAGAACCATCTCAGGTTTCAGATAACTTGGTGACAGACAAGACTATCTTGGCTGAGGCGTGCAAATGAGTTATTTGGAAGTGTCTAAATAGTTATCGCAGTGTTATCTGTGCAACACTTTGTTGCTGGACTGAAGCAGTCTCAGAAGGAAGCAGGGCAGTTTACCAAAGGCTCTGGTATTAGCTGTTGTTTGTCCTGTGCCTGATTGGGGTATTTTTCAGTTTCTGAGGAAGAGAAACTGGCATTGTGCTGTCCCAGATCTCAAACCACAATGTTCAGCTAGAAAGAAGGTGCTTGGACTACGTGCACAGCGGATCAACTGCATTCTTTGAAGCTTTAGGCTCTATGCAGGTATTAAGCAAGTTTATAGATTCAGTTCTAACAATGTTAATCTCAGTAGAGATTAACATTGCTTAATTGCAATTCTATTAATTTATTTACTTGATTTTTAACAGATAAAATAATGCCCATTGAGGGTTTTATGGATACATTTTTGTAGTTTGCAGAAACTACTCACAGAGAAGCACTGCTGAAATCCTCTTCTATGTCCATCCACTGCATGTTACATACACACATGAATGCTAGCAAATAAAACTGACATTACACTGTACCAGCCCACACATTTTCCAAAAATTGTGTATGAAAATTAATTTTACATCACCCAGGCATGACATCATCATAAAAGACTCAAGGAATGAAACAAGTGTGAAGAATATTTCTTGTTCTCATACAGCATCCGTGGGAATGGGCAGACTGATGTATTCTCTCCAGCTGTGATGAAACTGTGATCCTTTCCCTGTGCTTACCTAAACACTTGAGAAATAAGAAACTGCACATCTTTTGCAACAGTTTCCTGTGGTTTTTGGATGGATGCAATATACTGTGAATGTTTTCCTTTGTCTTGATTGCTGTTCAGAAGGGAAGGCAATATCAGAAATTCAGGATGAAGTGCTCATCAGCTGTCATCCCTTGAAGAGAGCAGTAGTGGACCAGCACTGTGGCTATGGAGAGGTGTTTGGTGGGGTTTTTGGGGCAGCACATCCTGGCAGAGTTGCTGGGGAGATCAAAAACACTGCAGTGCTGTTTCTGTCCCTTCTAGCCCAGCTGCTTCCAGTCTTTTGGGTGGGGATATGCTGCTAAATGCAGTGGGAGGCTGAAGGTTCTTGTCCTCTTGTGTGCTGGCTGAGACGCAAGTTCCTTACTGAGCTCCCTCCAACTTAAAAAAAAAACAAACCAACCCCCTCCCCCCCCAAAAAAAAAAAAAAAAAAAAAAAACCAACCAAAAAAAAAAAAAACCTTGAAGAAGAAGAGGAGCTTGCTAGCAATTCACCAGAGGAGCCAACTCAGCTGCAGACAGGCAGGCAGGCAGCCAGGACTGAAGTAAAAGCAGGCTGAGTATCACTGGCAGCAGCCCAGACTGCCTTCCTCATTTTGGGTTCCATTCCCCTAACATATATATGCATAGCTGTGGGTCTTCAAGGGCCAAAATCTGTGAATATGCATGGAGTATGAGGTCCAGCTCAACATAACAATAAACTTTTAACATTTTTTTGCTCAGGTTTCATTTGCAGCAGGAAGGCTGGGTTTTCTTTCCTTTTCAAGCAAAAACTGAGATGAGGTCTTCGTGCCCCAAGACTTTTAAAGCTATCTTTCCTCCAACAACAGCTGTTTTACATTTAATCCAGAAAAGCTCTGCAATTGCAGTCTTTGGGTGCTGAGGAAGAAACTTACAACATGACTTCAGTACAGAATAAAGTACTTTTCACATTGTCTATCCTCATTCTTTTTATATAAATATCTAATTCAGCAAGATACCTTTAGGTTCAGTAAAGCAGGCTTTAGTAAGCGTTTCATGATTTTCTAATCAAGAAATAGTATGAACAAAAATTTGTTTCAGCCTGAAAGGATTTCTATGCATATGGGTACTGAGTGCTTTTAAGCTCCACTGCCGAAGGAAATGGATGAAAACAAAAGCAAAGACCAATTTACAGTTGTGTTAACTATAGCAGGCACCTCTTATCCCTCAGAAAAGGAGGGAATAATGTGAAATCAACATAGAACTGTAGTAAAGAGCTGTAATATGATATTCCATGAGGGGGAAGGATTTTGAGAAAATCCTGCCTATTCTCTATCTTTTCCAAGGCTGTGCTTGGAATTTGTGGAAAGATGGGCAATTATATGAAGCACTTAAAAAGCACAGTGTAGCTTCAGCTGAAGCAGAACCAAAGGAAAGAGAAAAATCAAGCCTGTCTTGATAGGCTTTCCCTTTGCACATGCATAATATTTTAGGATATCATCCTGGCTCTCACACCATCTAGCGGGTGGGACTTTTTTCTTACTACAAAAATGTTGAACAGCAGTGCAATTTGATACAGAAAGTGATTTATTCCCCTGCTGATAACTGAGATCATCTAGCATTCCAGACAGGCACAGTTAATGGATGACTTATCCCTCACCCGGCAGCTGATTGCAGGACCTCAGGAGACAGCAGGGAGCTTTGAGTGAGGCTATAGAAACAACATGGCATTTTATTTTCCTTTTAGTGTTATTGCAACTATGTTCAGCCCTGGAATGCTACAGCTGTGTCAGTCTGGGCCCCCTGCAGCATTGGCATGCATGGAAGTGGGTAGGCAGCACTCAAGCCCCCATTGCTCTAATGACATTATTACTCCTTTCTGCAATCTCTGTGTAAACACTTATGGGGCAGAGTAATGGGCCCTCATTTGTTCAGAAGATACACCAAATCTTTCATGATGACTTTTTATTAGAATTCCTGCTACTCCATTGGTTAGGTTTAAATCACTCTATCCCTGAAGGAATGCTGAGGAGTACACCTCACATGAACTGAAAGTTCTCCTGGCATCTGCCAGTGCAGTTTTCATTAGGTTGATTCCTAAAAGTATCCATTAAAATATCTGAGGTGATAACTGGTATAGTCATGAGTAGAGATGGATCAAGTCTAGGTTCATTCTTTTTTTCTTAGCAGATGCATCTTCTCAAAGAAGACTCAGTGTCTGAGCAGCTTGCTGTGCTGTTATCGCTAAGAAGTCTTAAATAGCTTTTTTTCCCTTTTTGAATAAAAAAAATCCACCATTTTTTTTTCAGAAGAAACCATTTCAGATAAAGTAATGCTGTTAGACATCAGTAAATATCTGGCTTTGCAGACAAGTTGTCACATAAGTCAATTTTGTTGTGCAGCTTAAAGAATTAATTTGTATCCTGAATTTGTCAGACCTCACATTGCAGTGTCCGTCCAGTCATGCTACCTCTGTGTCCTTTCTATGAGCTTTTAAGACTCAGTTGCGTTGATGAAGTATTGGGAGGATGGTTGATGTAAAAATTAGGAATTTGTTTCAAATGTATATTTTTATAATACCATTCTTTGTCTTTCCAGTACTACCAGCTCTACTGCAAGCAGCTGTGACACAGAGTTTACGAAGGAGGATGAGCAGCGGCTGAAGGATTACATCCAGCAGCTGAAAAACGACAGGGCAGCAGTGAAACTGACAATGCTGGAGCTGGAAAGCATCCACATTGATCCTCTTAGTTATGATGTGAAGCCACGTGGAGACAACCAGAGGCTGGACCTGGAAAATGCAGTCTTGATGCAGGAACTCATGGCAATGAAGGTATTTTATTCATAACCAAGAGGGGAGCTGCTCTGCTGGCAATGCCTCTGTGTCACAAAACATGCTCAGTCACATGTGGGAGGCTTTGATAGTGGTCACTGGGTAATAAAGGGTAACTTCGTTGAAACACCTAATCTGGACTGAAAATCCAGTAGTCAGAAAGCAACAGAAGGCAGTGCATTAACAGTGTGAGCTGTGTGTGTTCTGAATTAGGAGGACTTCATCTGTCTCTCTAAACTTGGAGTGCTCTTCTTGACAAACCAGATGCTCTATTTCGGAGAGATATGGCAGCTGCATTGCTCAGGGATGACCGAAAAACATGATTCAGCACTTCCCAAGAGATAGTTCGTTACTTATGAGCTTGAGAATATGCATCATGAATATTTGTGAACTGAAGCAGAATAAATTCATGTTGTTGTGGAAGGACGAATGATCTGTCAGGTATCATCCCTAATGCTCTCTGGCAGTTGGTCACAAGTCCTGAGCTGTTCTAGGCACTGTGCTGCAATCTGTAGCTCAGTCCAGAGACTGAACAAAAGGGTAGGGTGTGTAATGACTGGCATTAACAGAGGGTTTTGGAGAAAACCCTGGTTTATATGTCCAGCTCTTAAGATGTGATCTAGAAAAGCTGATCTTTACAGACCAGGTGTAGAGCCTACATTATTTAAAGTCAGTCTTCTGTATTGATTTCGAGAGGTGAACTAAAACATAGGAACATACCAAAGGCAATACAAGTGTATGTCTGCATTGAGAATTGATTCAGTTTAACTTCTATATTTTAGCAAGCGCTAATTTAGCCAACTAACTGCTGAAATGTCAGGTGATGGTATTGAGTGGGACAGAAAATCCTAATAGTTTCATGAGTTTCTAAAGTCAGAGATTTTTGTTCAGATGTCCTGCTTCTGGCTAAGTGGTAGCCTGGTGATGATAACTATGTTCTTAGCGCTGCTGTTTTTCCATGATGACAGACACAGTTTTGCAATAATGAATTCATTATTTGCAGTTCAGAAAAGATAGCTTGCTAGACGTTGGGAGATGTAAAATTATGTTACTTGTTTGAATACTTTGTGACCAACAGCAATATATTCCCGACAACTAAAACATGCAAGCTGTACTGTAAGATGTTGGTAGATAATCAGATGTGTATTTCAGATATCACTCTTTTTTTTTTTTCCAGATATCACACTCCTTTTTTGTATCCAGATCTTCCCTGAAATCTCTTGTACACCATGTACGCCATTCTTACCTCTATTTTTCAATTTTCACTTACTTAATTTTTCTAATTTTATCTTAATTTAAAAGTAAGGGCAAACTGTGGAGCTGTATCCCTTGTGACTAGTGGCCTAGTCTTCCCTGACTGTCAGGAACACCAGCAGTTGCATATCATAATTTCTGGTACCCTTTTGAGTTCTGGTAATTCTTTTGTCCCCACAATAGTCATCTAACTTGTTTTTGACACACAGCATCCATTTGGCTGGACCTGGCAGTGTTTTCACTGCTTGAATTGCCTCTGGAAGAACATCTTCTTCTTGATTGAGTTGTGTGTAGTGCATACGTAATAGACACACATTTTGCATAGGTGTGTGAAGTTATTTTCAGCCCTTTGCAGTACAGAGAAACTGACAGTACTGTTACTCATTGTAATTTCTTGTACTTTGCTGAAATTCACAACTGCAGGAAAACCTTACATTTCTGAAAGAAGCATTGTGAAAACTCAATTGTGAAAACTTGTGATTTGTCAAATGTGTTACCTATCAGCTTCCATGGTTGTTGCTCAGGTCTGCATTTCACCTCCTCATCTGTTTGTCAGGCTAGAACAGAGTTGAACCTAAGGTCAGGACACACTTTGGCTTTCTGAGTATATTTTTTTGTATCAATTATATAAAACATATCTTACACAGAACAGCGTATGCATCTGCCTCCTTCTGAGACAAATGGAGAATTAAAGTTTCCCTACAGTATTTTATTTAACTTGAAGCAGATGGTCTGCAGAAGACTTCATTGTTTAGCATTTTTAATTTGTCCTCTCTGTTCTACATTCTTAGCAAGGACAATATAGCTCTACCAAGCTACTCAATGATTTCCTGTGTTGCTGGGTCTTAAAATCTCCTGCTGTTTTCCCAAAACTTGGTTCTGCATTGGAATCTCTGCTACATCTTTTGGCACCTTCCATTTCTGATTTCCAGTAAAAACTGATCACCTCATCAGTTTGAAATACCTTTACAACAGTAGTTCTTCATTATTAATTAGAAAGGCAGTTTGAGGATTGTTTCTCTGCTGCCCTGTTCATTATTACTTTTTACTGATCCAGGGCATAAGACTTAGTGGTCTGCCAGTACTTCTATAAAATTCAATTCTTTGCTTCAAGCAATAATTAACCATGTTTCCAAATACATTCTCATCTTGGGTTTGTCATTGAGTAGTCTTGCTTTGAGGTCAGTTGTTGTCATGCCCCAGTTAGCAGGAGATTACTTCTGATGGGTGTAAATAATTCTAGGTTTACAGCCTTTCTGAATTTCAAAGGACTTAATCTAGATAAGAAGTCTCAGCTTTCTACACTGATAATTTTTCCTTTTTTGTGTACAGGTGTTGACAATGTTGCTCCTATGTGCTTTGAGACTACAGTCTCTTGGTGGAAAATGTTAAGAATTCCATTGTCCACAGTTGTTACAGCCCTTCATGCTCATGCAGATTTGTATAGTGAAATACAGTTAACTAGAGCATGATATTTATCTGCTGCGATGTTTGTTTTAATTCTGAAGCCTGATATGTCCGACCTTGTTTACTGTGGTTCTCCTGGAGTCAAGACTTTTTGTGACTTTAAAAATTTCTTGCCACATTAGAGTCCTATGTGACCAAATCGAATACAGATTTTGAGAATTCTGTGGTATCTCTGATTATTTTGAATCAGAATGTTTTATTTTTCATTCAAGTTTTTGCCCAAAATCAAGATTACAGTATGACTGCAAGTATAAAATATCCCTCAATATTAAATTAATTAGTCCCAAAACAACTGCTGCATTTGATACCTGAAGCTTGTGAATTTGCATGGATTGTATTAAGTCTTCTGCAGTCCCCTAGAAGAGGGGCACTTGCTACCTCCCTCCTCCTTCAGGGTTTCATTTAGTGAATGCGACTTGTGCTCACACTCTGAAGATGCAGGTGTGTTAAACTGCAAAAGTGCTTCACAGCAACCTGTAACTGGAAGAAAAGGGAAACAGTAAATGGACAAAGGTGGCGCTGTCACTTCAATTAAATTTAGATGCAGTCTTTAGAAAACATATTTTCATGGGAAAAATTGCTGCAATTGACTCTCTAAGTAAACCTGAGCTACTTGAATTTTCCCAAAATGGCTGCTACCACGCTGCCTCACACATCGCATGGGTCTATACCACAATCCTCTACTGCAGTTTGAATTTTTAGCCATCATCAGCCTTTCCGTTCCCTCCTGTTCCTTCTCTGTGAGCCTCTGTAAGACACTGGCTGACACAAACTTTTTAACTTTTCCCGTTTTTTGGGGTTTTTTTGCTTCTTTACTTCCAAGTCACATTGTTTTGACATGAGAAAAGTAACATACAGGAGGTGCATGATATGTCTTCTGGGACAGGATGCAAACTGGTGAATTCATATATGATGATCTAATCTTACTGTCTTCATAAACAAAGGAGTTAAACACTGATTGTCAAATTTATATTGAATTTGGATATATTAAAATTATGAAAATAAAATAAGTCAAAATCTTTGCATTATGAGAAAAACCAGTTCCACGGATTCATTGTTGTAGTGGATAAATTCACCTTTTTATTTTAGGAAATAAATGTCCCTTATTTCTGGACTGAATTTGCCTAGCTTCATCCTCTAGCCAAGAAAGATCTTGTCGTGACCGTGCCACATGGACAGCCGAAAGTATCTTTTATTCATACAAGTGTCAAAATACTCTGTTCAAATTACTTCTCAGCCTTCACTAAGAAGTCTAAGTAGATTAATGGCTTTAGAAGTAGAGACTTAAGAAGTTAAATGCATATACTTGAGTATATCAGACTATCCAGTTCAACTCCTGTAACAAAATTTCCCCATCATTATTTATCAGTATTGTTCACATTTTTTACTGTTGACAGAGGCAATTAAGGGTGAGTTTGCCTAACAACTAAATTTGTGTAAACCACATTGAGTGAAACTGCATGTGCTTCTAACCTTCAGTTCACAAACACACAGATGAATAAATCAATGACGTTAAAGCTCATACAAACCTTTCCAAGTCTCTCAGGGTTTTTAAGATATGGATTTTATTTTTGCATGGTTCTGAATAAGCCAGTGATGGTTGTAACTGTGATACACCTGTGTGCGTGGCTTACTCTTAATCCAGACAGTAAATTTTTGGTAGGAACTTAGATTCTGGGAATCTTCAACATAAAAACTTTGTCTAAATACATGTAAAGATTTAGTTTTGTATCACATTTGTTAACAATGGCTAAAATATGAACAGCATTATTTTTGAACAATAAAGCAAGATGCCTCTGTTATTTTTGTGATTAGGGTTGGGGTTTTTTTGTTTGGTGTTTTTTTGTTTGTTTGTTTGTTTTTTGGGGTTTTTTTAATAAATAGTGACTTGTTCCAAGACTGGCCACACAACAAGAAACTTCTGTCTTTCAGAGGTGTTTACACAGTGAAGAAGAGAAAATGTAATACAGAAAATGTCCACATGAACCCATTAAGTGACCTAGGGCAAGGCAAGCTAAACAGTGGAAACATGATTCTGGGTTGAGGTTTTTTGTTTGTTTGTTTTGTTTTGGCCATCTTTTGTTAGTTTAGTGGTGATTTTAAGCACATAATGTAAATTATTTATTAGTACTATCTCAAAGGTTTTGTGGATATTGGGTTTTTCTGGGTATAGAAAATAACTAGGCATTCTGTACAAGAAACATTTCTGAAGTGTTGTTAATCACAAAGAGCCTTCTGGTTCAGGAATAACCCAAGAGTTATTCCTTTCAAAGGAGTCTTAGAGCATGTGCTTAAAAGAAGGGTCATTGCACTCATGCCCTGCTCTTAAACTTCTGCCCAGCCACTGTCAGACAGATGTTAAAACAGAGGTCTGTCCCTAGGCAGCAGACATTGTGTTACAATAGGTGACAGCCCTGTTAGATGCAAGAAGGAGCTCTCAGAATTGAGCTTCTTTCTGTCAAGTACCAGTGTCCATCTGCTGTGGGTTGTGTTTAGGGAAGAAAATAAATTAGTGCATTTTTCTGTTAAACTCAAGTTGTGTGTACTTGGGCTTCTGGCCACCTAGGGGAGGGAAATTATAAATGGACATCTGATGGGGCCATACTCAGCTGATCTTTCTGACATAACTCATTTTACCACAGAGGCTGGTATTAGAAGGTATTGAATAGGTCCTGGTCTCTCAAACCTCTTCCACTGTAATGAGATTAATTCTTGCATATCAATAAGAAACTGAAATCTTGCTTTTAGGGAGATGTTTGACAAAGTCATACAATTCTGTTTTTAAGACAATAGTTGCTGAAGGACAAAGTAGAACCAGAGACATTTCAGCAGCTGTGGCAATTCTCTCAGATCTCTGATAGTCTAATTCTAATTTTGCTTCTGAGCTTATTCCTGAAGATTATAAAGGGGTGGCACGGCTCATCATACTCAGACTGAAGATATATGGGTCTTGGACAAATCTGCAATGTGATTATAAAAAGTTATCTGGATGTTGATAGTTTCTTCAGTTAAAAGAACACTGAGGCTATAAGAGTGGATGAAAATCTTGTTTAACGTCATCTTCCTTTAGGTACCTAGTCCCGTGAAGCAGCATGCAATAATACAATGTTTCTTCAATAGGAAGAGATGGCAGAGCTCAAGGCACAGCTTTACCTGCTGGAGAAGGAGAAGAAGGCTTTGGAATTGAAGCTGAGCACTCGAGAGGCCCAGGAGCAGGCCTACCTCGTCCATATTGAGCACTTGAAGTCTGAAGTGGAAGAACAAAAAGAGCAGAGAATGAGGTCTCTCAGCTCAACCAGCAGTGGAAGCAGAGACAAACTGGGCAAGGTCAGGAGTCGAGCTACATTTCCAAAGTTGTAAACAGGATTAATTAAACCTTTCCCATCCCTATTGCAGTCTTTAGCATGTTAATCATGCTCTTATTGTGTCTGTATGCAGATCTCTCTCTTCCGCAGTTGTGAGGTGGTTCCTCACTTGAGGACTTTGCAGAATTGGTGTTAAGCATAGGCTAAAATAAGGGTGCTTTGAGGACTACCACAAGGCCAGTCTTGCCAGACATACAACTTGCTGTGGCTGAGCATGTGTTTTGCCTGTTGCCACTCACTGGAAACACTGGAAGGGAGTCTAAGCAAAATGCCATTCTCCCATAAACACAAAATATGAAAACATGACCACTCATTTCTATGCAGCATTTAGAGCATTGTAATGACAATCTCTTTCTCCAAGTCAGATTGTAATAATTTGAGAATGATGACTCTTCTCCCTTAATGCAAAATAATTCAGAATAAACAGATTTCTGCATTTGCAGTAATAATTTGCATTAAAAAAATAAATACCTTGGAAAACTTTGTCTTATTTTAGTGGTGTATCCCCAGAAAATGTCAATTATGTGTTTAAAAACAAAAACCAAGACATGAAGTCTTACTTCCATGTTCCTGGCAATACATCATCTGAATTTCTTGATCCCAGTGCCTCTTTGTTTTATGTGTTGTGTCAAAAGAAATACAAGGAAGATAGTAGCAGTTTTGTACACAGTAGCAGAATTCTGCAAGTCAATGGGTTGTGGTGGTTTAAAAACATTTAGAGGCATTTGTGAAGTATTCATCTGTTTAGTCCATTTCTTGGTATGATGATACACTGCCGTGTTGCTGTACCACTGTGTTGTCTATTTCACCTTCATTTTAAAGGTACACTGAACTAAGAGGCTTTCAGAATTTTCTCATTAAGATGTTTGGTAATTTCTTATCAAGTGGCTTTTCCTCCTTCTCAGGAGTGCAGTGATGGCACTGCAACACCGCTAACACTTGCTGAGCTGAGACCGTACAATGAGAGTGAACTGACTGCTGAGCTGACAAATGCACTCAGAAGGTAAGCACAGCTTCCCTCACCAGGGTCAGGACTTGGCCTGTAGGTCCAGGGAAAAGTATTTCTGAGCCTTCACTCTAACCCTGAAGTGGTTTGAAGAATGATCACAGATTGGTCCTGTGAGAAGGAAAACTATCAAAGTCCTTCTAATTTTCCACTCTCTCCTGCTGTTGTTCTTTAGCTGCTTTCACGTGGTGCTCAACTCCATTCTCCTTGAGGTTCTCCAGAATTCAGTTGAATTTTAGAAATAAAAGAAACTCTCAAAATGGCAGTAATGACCACTACCGGGCAAGAGTATGGGACATAAAACAGTGACATGACACATTTCTTGTGTATAAAGAAAATGTTTAGCAAAGACAGGATTTGAAGTGTGATCTTTGGTTAAGAAGGCTGGCTGCAGGCTAGAACTTGGGGGGGAGTAGGAATTGCAGGCATTTTGATGACTCAGATGCTCCATTTGCCTCTTGAGTATATAAGTGGAGCCACAGTTCAATTACAAATGACATTGTGTGAGGTATTAGCTTTCCAATGGGAGAGAAAATTGATGTCTTGACAGACAGCTTTTATCAACAGCCAGGTTTTAAGCCTAAGCTTTCAGTATAGTTATACATTAGCTAGATATTTGTTTGTGCAGCAGCTTTTCCTTCACCAGGTATTTGGTATGCTTAATGACAAAGAAATTCATAGTTTTGATAATTGTTTCAATACTTGTTTCACTTTTACCAAGAAATGGCTGTCTGGTATCTAATCTGGCTCTTATATTTAGAACCTGTCCAAAATGCTGCTAAGAATTTTGGCTGGGAAGAGTGTGTTTTGCTTTACTGGTGCACCTTCTTTGATGGTGAAATGTCCTTTCAGGCAGCCGTGGTCTTTCATTCCTGAGGTGCTTTTTTTCATAGGTGTAACATGTGCTGTGCCTAGGGACACTTAAGGGCATTATGTAAAAATGTAAGATCATTACCACTGCAGAATCAATACATCTCATACCATTTGCTTAGTAGTCTGGCAGTTGCTGAGTACTTAGTTTGCATGATGCAGGGAACAAAATTCTGTGGGTAAAATAATTAAAACTGTCATTTGTATGTGGATAAAGCCCATCAGCAAAGTAATTTATATAAACGTTGCAGAGAGCCATTGGCCTCTCCTGTATCCCCACATTGCTCACTGGTGTGAGCTGCTCCACCAGCATTTTCTCCCTTCACTCAAGCTGCTGCTCTTCCAGCTCTTGTTATTTGCTCCTGGATTTTGAGAAGATGCCAATGACCTTAGTTAGCAGAGGTTTGAGTATAGTCATGAAATGTGGTTTGCTGACAACATAGAGAAAACAACTTTGCTTTATCTACTAGGCCTTAAGTTGATTAGCATGGATTTCTAGCCAAGGGCCTCGCAAGTACAGTTTGTCAGGCAGAAATGGAGAAGAAAAATAATCGGATTAAACTGTACATAAATTGTGAAGGCTTTCTGTGTAATGGAAATACAGCTGTACTAAATGTGATTGCTGCTGCCAGTGGGGCTCAAGCACAGTTCCTGCAAGCTGTGTGAACAGGGTATTTTTCTCCCTAATCAGTGTGCCAGCCAGACCAGGCTGCATGCTTAGCCCTCCTTACCCTGAAGTCTTGTCTCTGCAAGTCAGTTGAAGGTCTGTCTAGCACATGGAGAAAGCTTGTTTAGCCACAGAAAATACCAGAAATTGCTAACTGCTGCTATGGATAAATGAGCCCTCAGATATCACAGTGATATTTAGTCCATCACAAATCCACAAAAGAATTCTAAAAATGGTCGAAGTCCTTTCTCCTCTGCGAGTGCATCCTCTTCACCTGCCAAGAAGTAGGACCAGAATACATAATTTAAGGCATTAGTCCCAGTAGCTGTGTTTGCTGAAGAGGGGAGGTGGGAGGAAAGGTGAAACAAGTGCCTGTCATGCTCTAGGGTCCAGAGCAGTATCTAAATGCCAGCATTCAGGAGTGTTTCAGGACTGGTTACAATTGGTCCATACGTCCAGCAATTGGTCCTCCCTATTGTTTCTCCAGGCAGTAGACACTGGTTCAGGGGACAATAGCTGCAGAAATCCACTGGTTTTTGAATCTGTTTATCAGAGTGTGTGATATCAATCAGCAGGCCCTGCTTCCTGTCCCCTCTTTATCCCATCATTACAGAGACTAAAGCTCTGGGTGCTCCCCCCTCTGCTACTTCCCCATTCTGTCCTTCTGCTGCTGTTAAATTCTCAGGTTCTTCTCTGTTAACTGAAATAGAGTGTAACCCAAATAAAACAGCAGGGCATAGTTGGAGTTTGGGTTTTGGTGTCGTTTGGAAGCATTTATTTGCTCAAAGTCTGAAAATGGCCATACAGCAGAACAATCTCATCCACAGAGCCAGTCTGGCTTCTCTCTGCAGATGTGGCTATTTTTGTAAATCTGGAATCCAGTAGCGTTGTTGTGAAACCTTTGTTGTTAGTGCCCATCAGCAGAAATTCAAGACAGAAGCAGTTGGGTCATAACATATTTGTTCTAGAGCAACTCAGGATTTCCTGTAGTAGTGCTCAGTATTAAAACCCCTGTTACCAGCTTTTTACAGAATTCACTTGTCTTTTACATGGTCACTATGCTAACTGGGAGAAATGTAAATTATCTTAAAGTCCTATGCAGTTAAAGCTACATCTGTTATACCAATTTCTGGTGTTGCAGGCTAAGCTTACTAATTCAGACATATCCTATTCCAGCCAAATGTAAACACTTTCTGCCAGAGCCTTTAACAGTTTTGGTTTTCCCTCTCTCTTTTCTTAATGGAATAATGAAATGCTTTAATGGGCACAAAGTCTCTTCTTTCTTGCGTCTGACACATCCATAAACAGGCTTCTTGGCAGGAAATATCTTACTCTTGAGAGGGTAGGAATGTGTTCTCAGCAGCCTCATGGCCTGCGTTGACACCTTGATGATTGTGCCAGAGGCCAGTTTTATAAGACAAAATTCGGTTGAATACCCCAGAATCAGACACGTGGTGCAGTCCTGAGGAAAGACCTTAAATGAGTTCTCTTCCTTACTGGTTTGATCTCTTCTGCTGGGGCAAGGAGCAATATGCGTGACCTGTATGAGTTTGTAACTCAGTAGACACATACCAGGTTATGCATTAATGCAGGTAAATGCATTACAAGTTATTGCCATAACTTCCTGGTGTCTATTGAGACAGTGCAATGTTTGTTGCACTCTTACGTCCTTTATCCCTGTCTGAAGACCGCAACTGTGTTTCATGACAAACTTCTCCTCAGAGAGCAAACATTTCAATAGAAAACTCGGCCAAGGCATGGCAGTGACTACTTCCTGACACAACGTCAGTGAGAGAGAAATCAAGCCACCTTTCTTTATTTTAAATTTTCATAAACTCCATGTGATGGCGCTGTAAGCTTGCAAATTTTCAAGGGCTGACCTTAGTTTCATGATAGCAGCAGTCAGTAAATTTCATCATTGAAATTCAGGTCTATGCTGAGCACAGTAAGGCTGTCTCAGAAATGGAAATAGAAATGCCTAAAACACATCATATCCATTCATTTTTAAAATTACTCTTTAGACTTTTCTTTGACCAAGGTACAGGACAAACATGCAGTGGGTAAAAGTAGGGGAAGAGACAGAGGTTTTTGTTCTGGACCTACTGATGCATCTTCAGCTGCTTTCTGTCAGTGTTTGCTTTTTTCTGTTCTCCAATTACCACATCAGTTAAATGAGGAGATAAGAAGCTCTGAGGCATTTGAAAGCCAGACATTAGAATGGCTTGCAGTCATCCACGAGGCAAGTATCCTGCTGTGGTTTCCCCTTGTCTTCCAGGGGGATTTCAGAAGGCATGGCCAGTCTCTGGAAATCCCTCTGGAGAGTCCCACTAAGAGAAACCTTCTCACAAGAAGAGAAATGACTCATGGTGATAGCAGGGACAGATTCCTTAGAAGCACTTGAGTAACTATTTTTACCATATGCCTCACAGACAACCATAATTTGTCTTCTTTGCTATTTTTGACATGGAGTAAGTCGTTCTTACCACCATGTGGTTATCTGAACTGCTGAGCTGCTGTGCACGTCGATATAATCATCACAGGGAGCTCCAAATAGCTCCAGGTCTGGAGAGCTTCCAGGCTGGGCTGGCAAAGCTGGATGGGAGGTTTGAGCAGTGAGTGTAGTAGGCACGGTGCTGCCTCCCTCCAGGGCTGTTCTTCCTTTTTGCTGCCAGTATGTTGTTTCAGGACCACACCTGGCCTGTGTGGTGTTAACACATCTCTGTGGTACTGTGTTACCGCTTTTGAGATCTGTTCTGAGCATCTTGGCAATCAGCAAAAAAAAGCAGTACAGTATTTTTCACCAGCAAAGTGGATTTTGAAGCAGCCTCTGTCACCTCAGCAGTCGGGAAAGGCCTCCTGTGCAGAGGGAGCTGGCAAGCTCAGGTGGTGCTTCAGCAGGTGAGCCAGGGAGACATGGCATTTGAAGAGGGTGGCTCTCTTGGCATTTGTGTAGTGTTGCTTTATTGCCTTTTTAAAACATTTATTATATTCTGGTTGTTTCCCTTAGCAGGCCAAGCCAGACCAGTGAGGCAAGCGTGCATTGTGCTTTCGAATTTGCCTGGGGATTCTGCATGTCAGCCTGATTTAAGAAGTTAGTTTAGATGAAGAGAATGAAGAGAGAATTAGCTGATGAAGAGTTAAAGTTAGCTGATGAAGAGAGAATTTGTCTGTATTCCTTGTAAATGTCCAGCTGTTATCTCCTGAGAGGAGTCAGATGCCTAGGAAAGCAATCATGTGTCACCCTGTTCAACTGGAAAAGTCAGAGAGGGGAGTGAGGGGTGGTGCCGGGCTCCCTACAACAGGAGGATATCAGGGAAGGAGTAGGAGTGGAATGTGGAATGGGAGATGTGTGCCTTCTCTTCAAAGCAGAGGTCTTGCAGAATAACTATGGACCGTGCAGGAAGTGCCTTCCCTCCCTACCCTTCCCCTCCCCCGTGGCCTGGGGCTGCTCTTCCAGCATGGATAGCTCTGCCAGGAATTCTGTCCCCTTGGGCTGGCTGCCGCTGGCGCTGCTGCATCTGGGCTTTGTGCCTGCAGAGCTCAGGGGCAGGTGCTGGGCTGAACCGGGTCATCCCACTCCTCAAGGGGAGCCAGGATTTGAAGGGATCTGCCCCAGCAGATCTCTTTTGATGAGTAAGCAGATGTGCCCTATGGATGGCAAGAGTTCCCTGCCTGGCTGTGGGAAAGTTTCTCACCTCTTCGTTTGGAGAAACCTCATTGTTCCTCTTTTGCTTCAGAATTGGCAAGAGCTGTGGTGCTCTTGACCCCAGGGCAGAGAGGGGGTAGCTGTTGCTTTCACAAGAAGGGGAGTTAGCTGGGTGCACTCCAAGCCAGGGGCAGAAAATTCAACTTTTGGCAGGCCAGAGAAGAGCAGCTTCTTGTTTGCAGCACTGAGGAATTTTCAGTGAAATCAGCAAGGGTCAGGAAAATCTGGGAAGACTTCTAGCACATGAAACCTGGACATACCTGGAAAAGCCTGGTCAGGAGGGAAAATGTAAGGTGCTCATGACTTTGCTTACATTACAGTGTGCCAAACATGGTGTCAATGCGTGGAGTGGAGGCCAAATTGACAGAAACAGTTTCCTTTATGGCCCTGACAGAATTCCCTGTTGTCTAAAGGGGTAGCATTGAAACCAGAGAATACCAGTTAGCCCTTTCCTATTCAGCCATCCTGAAACAAAAAGCCCTTGAAAACCACTATGGAACTGTCCACTGAGTGTTTTGATTGTGAAAATACCAAACAAAAGCCTTTATTACCAGCATATTAGTAATTTCGCTGAAAACAGTGTTTTTAGCAGATGTTGTAGGCTGTAGGCCTTGAATACACTTATTCTGAGCTTTTCCCTGGAAGGGGAGCAGTCAGGGATTTCCCCAGCTGACTTCTTAGTGGAAGTGAGCCATGCCCTCAGATCATAGGCTTGTTCCCTCTTCTGGGAATACTTGCTCATTTTCTCTGTGCACATGAAGTGTAGTGGCTGTGTTTTCTGCAGCCCCAGCTTGCAGTACCCACTTGGAGGAGGAACTGTTGGGATAAGGAGCTCTGTGGACTTCTGCAGCCCAATAGAGTGTGAGTCAGGGGCTCACAGAATTTGTGTTCTCTGAAAAACACTCACTTCTCCTTCCCCCTTCTCATCCAAATACACAGATAAGTGCTTTCTTGGGATACACAGAGGTCCCCTGGGGCACAATAGCAGTGTGAGTTTGGTGTGTCTGCTTCCATGGCAGTTTGGACCTTGGACTCTGGAAGACTGTCTGGCAGCAGCAGGCTATGCCTACATCAGTAGGATGTTCAATATGTCTGTCACATCAAATGCAGTCCCATCCCTGGTTTGCAGCTTTGATGTGTTCTCATGGTAGAGGAGTGGTTCATATGCAATATTGAAAATATTGTGACATATTAAGCCCTGTAGTGGCTGATTTTTCACATCCAGCAGTCAGGAAAGTGCTGTAGTGCTGGAAATCCCCTTAGGACAACACCTCAGGATTCAGTATAGCTCTTATTCACTGTCTAACTGTGCGATCAGTTTTGAAGAGAAACAAGTGTGGACGCTTCTTTCTGACCAAACTGCATGGTCAGCGATAGAACCTGAGGGATGCCGGGGGAGTCACCCTTGTGAGGCACGGGGTTCCTAGCAGCCTGTCATGTACAGCTCTGAGGTCTCTCATCTGCTGTTCAAACAGAAGATGCAGCACCCTGGAGAAAACTTCAGTTGTTTTAGTGTGTAATAGTCATTAACCCAGTGCATCTTCATTTCCCAGAGTAAACCAAGGTGTTTGCTCTGCCTTTTCTGTTGCTGCTGTGTGTGGCTCTTCAAGTGTGACTTGTTCTGTGAAATGTCTCTTGAAGTAACGATACTTAGGCAGTTTTAAAATTGTAAAAGGGTGTAAAAGTAGATCCTAATGTGTTGGTTTTTTCAGATTTTTGAGACATTTCAGCACATGCAATCAAACCACCAATTACTTTCCACGAGATTAAGGTTGAGTAGGTATTATCTCGTGCTGTTTCACTGACTTGAAGACATTGTGAAAAGCCAAAAGAAATACATGTATTTTGCTGGTGCTAGTGTAAATTTGACTCATCTATAGATTTGAAGTATTACCCATTGTTTCCTGGTTCAGAAGGTTCAGAACTGGCATCTAAAAGTTGTTTAAGTAGCTTGAACAAGTTGCTTACCACTCTGCTGGCTTTGTGGCTTTGACAAGCAGCAAGACAAGGATGTTTTAGACCAAATGTAAAAAAATACAGCTTGATGTTTAGCTGAGTTTTGGGTGAACAGGGCTGGTTGAAAGGTGTGAGTGAAAAACAGACAAAAGGTGATATCATTGTTTTATCAAGTAACAGTCACCATAGCAACCAAACTTTACCATGCAGGAAAAGGTCTTCAAAGTGTTTCCACTGTATTTCTTTACCACACAGCTTTTATTACAACAGCTGTGTGAGAAGCAGTTTAGCTGCAATGAACTGTGGCTTACAGGGCTTTTTCACGTGGCACTGTGTGCAGCATTTCCACAGCGATACCTTTTCTTGGACATGATGTTAAATAAACCTCACACGATTTTGAGATTTCTCTGCCCATCTAAACACTGTGCATGTTTATTCCACTGGACTTGCTGTTCACACTAGGTTGTTATGGTGGAAATGGTGCTGCTGAGCCTTCCCCAGAGCCTCTGGATGTAGCAACCATTGGAACAAAGAAGCACAAATTTACTGTGTCACAGTCACATTTTACTCTGTTCTGTCACATCAGTAGTGCAGTGCCACAAATGCTTTAGGGTCTGGCCTCTGCCACATCTGATCTTTACTTATTTGCGCTCTGGCTCTTTTTCTTCCCGTTTTCTTTGCAGAAAACAGATTTTGGCTGTAGACTGTGCTGAGCCTTTCTGACTGCTGAGATAGAATATAAAAATTAAAATTTACATTTGGGATAGATGGCACTGAACTTCTAACTGCAAGGGAGAAGGATTGCATTACTTGAAAGCAGAGGAGGGTGTATTCCTTCAATGAAGGGACATACAAAGAGTACTGATGATTCTTCTTCAACAAGAGCCCTCTTATGTCCTTTTTAATTTGGCTGGAAACCCAGCACTGGAGTCCGTTGGGATAGACCGCTAACTTGGAATATTTCCCCAGCTGACTTTGTGAAAGCCCTTCTGTTGCTGCTGGAGCTGGGTGCTGTCCCTCTCTCCAGTGATAAAAAGCTGCCATATCCAGGTCTTCCTGGGAACTGCAGGCTGCTGACCTAGGATTCCAGGAGGATCCCTGTGATCTCTGCAGAGCTGGGGAAGCTTTCACAAACTTCAGGATATTCATTCCCATTGGGCTTATATGGGAACTAGCAGTTGTCTCGTTTTTGAGGTGAAAACAAGTGTACTCATGTAGCAGCACTGCAACAAAGCAGGGGAGAGTGGTTCTAGGCAACGAAGCACAGACTCCATGTAAACACACAAAGTTCCCACATGGTAGATTTGATGCTGCAAAATCTGTGTCCCAGTTGAGTGCAGCTCCATATAATTCTTAAAAAACTTTTTTTTTCTTTTTCTTTTTTTTTCTTTTTTCCCCCCTTCCAAATCTTATGTTTTTTTCTCTGAGCTATCTGTGCAGAGCTTGGGTCACAGAGAAAAACTCCTGGAACAGTCCCATGTGTGTGTAGGAGTGGGCTGAGCAGGCATCAGCCATCAGCTCTAGAGCAGGGAGTTCCCCAGGAAGAAGCACCTGCTTCATGCCATGTGGTTACCTGGGAAATGCTTTTTAAATCCAGCTTAATCCCCTGGCTGTAATGCTTGCTCCTGCCAATAACTTCTATCGTGTTGAGTTTTCTTTTCCTCATAGAGAGACTTGTAATGTGAAAATGTTATAAGATACCTTATTCTCATTTTGTTACACTTCTGTAATTAGCTTTTGGTTCAGAGTTGGTAACTATATTCGCTATATATATCTTATTTCTTAGTGTGATTTAATGCATACAGCACCATGATATACCAGAGAAGTTAGTTCACTCTTTTGTTTGCTCTTTCTCTGATCCTGAATTCTAAAATGGTGAATGTTATAAATACCAATCTTTGGAAAAGTTTAATGTAATAACTACCTCTTGTATTATCCTAGTAATAGTAAGGAAAATATTTGCAGCATGTCAGTTCAGCACAGGACAATTGTTGATACACTTTCAAGCTGAAGTACTATTTCTGTTTTGAAAATAGTTTTCTACCTCCTTTTCTTCTGATCCAGGGAGAAGAAACTGAAAGCAAGAGTGCAGGAGTTAGTGAGTGCCTTGGAGAGACTCACAAAGAGCAGTGAAATCAGACATCAGCAGTCTGCAGAATTTGTTAATGACCTTAAAAGGGCAAACAGGTAAAGGGTCTATCTGCAGATGAATGCACTGTTGGTTTATTTTCACTGTGTTCTTGCAAAACACTGATATTCCACTTACCTTAATGAGAAGTTTTGGGACCCTCATGTTCCATCCACGTGTCAACTCCAGGGTTATAGTTAGAGAAAGGGGAGGTATAAACCTCCCATGTAGGCCGCTGACAACTACATAGTAAAGAACAGAAAGCAGGAAAATAGGTTAATCTTAATTGAGTTAGTAATAGTGATTGCACAATCACTGTAAAAAACAAACAAACAAAAGATTTATGAACCTGTTACTTTTTTTTTAACTGCTCCCTTTTTTTAACTCCAACCTCTTCATTAATAAACTGTCTTGGATAATCACCTAAGTTCCGTTGCTCATTAGGGCATTTTTCTTGTACTGTATTTGGATATAGTGGACTGCAGCTGCCCTCTGACTCACAATGTGATTTTCCTTAAATTGCATTTAAAAGCTTTGTGGTGAGAAGCATCGCCCATCTCAAGCTTTCCAACCCAGTCAAGGTGGAGGCACAGAAGCTACTCAGCAGCTAGCAAGTTAGCACAAGATGCCATCCTCTGAATGTAAATCTTACTTCTTAAAAATGAAAAATGCAAAATCAGTCCTTGATTTCTAAGCAGATTCCGGCCATGCAATGTTTTTATAAATCACATCTGATGCTGTGGTATCTTGACTCATAGAAGTGGTATGAGAGGTCATCAACAGCAACCTCCATCTGCCTCTTTGAACCATGTTTAGTTTTCTTTACTAGTTTACTGGAAAAGGTGTGTGCTTCCCCCTGGAAAGACACAGACATTAGCAATGATCTGGGTTTGGATCAGGAAGTTTTGGATCCAATCCATTTTAAAGCACTGGTAAATTTTGGGAAGGGGATCAGTTTCCAGCCTTTGAAGTTCCCTGAAGATGGGACTTTGGTGTAGATTTTTTGCAGCACTTAGTCTGAAACAAGCCTGTTAGAATTACCTTGTATGCCTTGTGTTTTTAACAGCAACTTGGTTGCAGCTTATGAAAAAGCGAAGAAAAAGCATCAAAATAAGCTGAAGAAACTGGAATCACAAATGATGGCCATGGTGGAGAGACATGAAACCCAAGTAAGAATGCTCAAACAAAGAATAGCTTTACTGGAAGAAGAGAACTCCAGACCACACACCAATGAAACTTCACTTTAAGTGCATCTCTTTAAAGGATGCTTAGTGCCATTACAACTTTCTTTCTTTTGGAGGTTGACTTTTAGGTAGCTTCAAATGTTAAAAGCTCTGACTGTCAGTGCTGACAAACTTAAAAGCTCCTTCTCTGGGACCCCAGAGAGGTATCATGGGGATAATAAAAGTGTTAACCTTAAGGACTGTTTCATAATGTAAAATGGCAGTGCCTGAATTATCACGCTATAATTGTGTACATTGTCTGTGTTGTTATCTCTGTATTCATACAGCTTCTCTTCCATTTTATCAATGGCCCATGGGTGACAGTGTCACACAGCAGAATAATTCATGTTAAGAGGTTTTCATTTGGGTAGTTAGGGGATCATGGGGAAGTTTTCCCAGTCCCTGAGCTCTCTCTGACACAAGTCCATACTGTACCCTCATGACTTGCTGCTGTGGATTCACCACCAACAGGCAGCTGCTGCAGAGTGGGCATGGCAGCCTGGCTGGCTTTTTCTTTGCGCCCTACTTGCAGTTCTGCTGTTCACAGTGCAGGTCAGGTAGGAAGACTGGGAAAAAAACGAGAAAGTATTGTTGCATCTCTGAGAATTATAATAAAAGTGTAATTCTTACAGTGCGTAAGAGGGCCAAAGGCTGTGGGTTTCACCATGCCACACAGATGGTCTGTGCCAAGTGTGGGTCAGAAATTACAGAAGACCTCCTGGTATTTATATTGCATGGTGTTTGCAACTACTTTGTAGAAAAAATTGGTTTTTCTTGTGATATACACTATATCCAAGGTTTTCTTTAAGAAGCTGGGCCATTTTTGTCACATGTGTTGTGCTTATTACAGCTTACTCTGATCAAGAGGTGGAATGTCGTCTTTTTATACTTTTTTTGACCAAAAAAGGGTACTTAAGTAATGTACCTGTTTAATATTGAATACATAGGCACAAAATTATAGATGTGTAGATGTATGGATATCCAGCCACAAACAGAATGTGAATGGTGAAGTCTTACAGCTTTCTTAGGTTAGTTTTTGTTACTGCTAACAATCACTTGTTTAAATCACGTATTACTGTATTATCAAACTAACTGAAGTGCAAATTTTGTCTTGTTAGGTTAATGAATAGTAAGCAAATCATGGGGATCAGGTTGATTTCTGTAGGGGTCAAAATACAGGAGTCTGCCATAGCACCTATTATATTCAGAATTAACTTTTTTTTTTCTTTTTTGTTTTCCTTTTTTTTTTTTCTTTTCTTCTTTTTGACAGAGTACGTTAAAAAGCTTCATGTGTGTTTTAAAAAGCCAAGCTATAGTCCCTTCACTGTGTTAGCCTGCTGCTGTGTTATGCCTCTGCTTTGCGTTTTCCAGGCTGATTTTCAGTGAATCTGATTTCAGGAGATGTTTATTGGTTTTGCTTTACATGCTGAGTTGCACCTCAAGTTTTTTACTAGTATATTTAGAATTATGATAACTTTTCTCATTTATTCCTCCCATTACTAGTACTAAGGAAATATTTTAGCGGACTCTTTTTGCCTGTTGTTGGGCTAGGTCAGACAACATAGTTGTGGGAATTTGTGTTCAGAATATGGCATTATTGTTAAGTCTTTGTTACATCTGGAAGTGTAGCTGTTGGTTTTCCATCTCTTACCACTGTAGCTGCTGTTGTCTTCTGTCCTTAAGAGTAGTCGAGTCGTTCCTACGTCCATGGAGTCTAGTACATCATCCACAAAGCCAGCATCCCATGTGGTTGATTGCAACAGCAAATTAAAACAATGCTGATTTCAAAATTTTTACGTAGTGATGTTCTGGTTTTGATCAACCCTATTTCTCAGAATAATTGCACTTCTTAATTTATAATATCACAAAAAATTACTGCAAATGAGTCTCTTGAGGGAGAAGGCACATTGATTTCTTCTGTCTCTGTGGTTTTGCTTAGCAGCTCTCTAAGGTGTTTCCCCTTTTGGCCCAATTTTCTCACGCCCAGGAGCATTGGGGTTTACCATCAGCAGCTGAGCACTCTCTTGTTTTGAAGAATCACAAAGGAAAGTATCGACCATGTGCTGTGGCAAAAATGCAGTTACACTCTTGTCTTTCAGCATCTGAAAAACCCATGTGAGTTGAGGTCACCTCAGAATGTCTGTGTGAAATACCTTTCACTGGAAAGGACAGAAACCGTAATGCACTGAGCTGCCTCTTAGGCTCATTTCTTTCCCTGTTGTGATTAACGGGATTACAGAATGGGTTGGGTTGGAAATGACACTAAAAAATCACCTTGTTACAATCCCTTTCGGGGGCCAGGGACATACTCCACTGGACCATGTTGCTCCAAGCCCCATCCAACCTGGCCTTAAGACATTACAGAGATGGGGCAGCTACAACTCCTCTGGGCAGCCTGGGCCAGGGGAAGACGTTGCTTCTGCACCCTCAGCACAGAAGAGTTTCTTCCATAAAAAAATTCAGATACTCTTACACAGAGGTTTTTCCCAGACCTGACAATATCCTGATTATTTCTCTACATTTAGCACAAATCTTCCGTGCCAACTGTGCTCTAGAAGTGCATTAGAATAAATTATAAATCATCAGTAAATGTAAACCACTCCCATTTTTTTCCCCTGTAAGGGTTGTAGATGAAAAAGCAGCACTGGTACCATCCAGCATTGGCAGTAGCTGTAGCTTGCCAGATCAGCAGTTGATTTATTTGCCTCAGCAAGCAGCTGCTGCATCATTTGTTGGCACAGCAGAACGATCAACTGGGAAGTGGTCACAGGTTTAATGTTACTGTGAAAACTGTTCATTAGTGATAATCAGCTTCAGCTCCAGTGTACCCCATTAAAATGGCACCAACTCTCACAAAAAATGCCATGAAAACTTCAAACTCCTTTTATGCAACTCTGAAGTACCAGCACACCAGAACTACCTGAGCATGCAGTGCACCGTGAGTTACAGCAACTTAATTCTCTTAACGCTTGTTGCAGAAATAATAAATTTGCAAAGCAAGAGGTGATTCTTGTCAACCTAAGTCCATTCACTAATTAATGATTGGACTTTTTTTGAACCTTTGTATTTCACAGAGTGCTCAGAAAAAATCCTTTTTTTTTCTCTATGATGTACAAATCTTCACCAACTTGAATGTACTGTTAGCTTTTGCAAAACACATGTGACTAAGTTTGCATTCATGTCATGCTTTACTAGTTTAATTAGTTTTCTCCTCCTGCATACTGCACCATGCATTGTAACTTTAGAAACTTTTCACCTTGCTGAATTAGCTTTAAATGTGTTGCTACCTTTTAGTTTCCAAGCTGTAAAATAGCTGTTTTGTGTTCATTTGATATAGAATTGTAAAAACTGCATTTATTTATACAGAGGCATTTATAATACTTATATTACAAATGTTCTTATATTCTGATTAAATTTCTAATGCTGTTTCTTTGCCTTGGGAGTTGTTTCACCATGGCTTGTCACCTTACTGTTGAATGGGACTGCGTAAAAACACCTTGGCACAAAGATACCTCACCTCAATGCTGCGTTACTGAGGGAGACGGTTTGACATTGTCAGTAAAGTTCACTTAACAGAGCCATGAAAAGTTGTTAAGAACTCAGATCTGGCCACAGGTTTTAGCTGTGGTCAAGAACCTCAGTATCCTCTACATCTTCAATGAATACTTTATAGAAATGGAAGGGTGCATGTGAAACTGTTACCATGTGTCCAGTTCTTTTAATAACAAGTTATATGGACCAAAACAAAAAGAAAACATAATACTCAGTATTACATAAATATTCTAAAAGCACTGATTGAAGTTCACACACTTCCTTTCTCCAGTTTGTCTAGCACATTTTTTTTCCATTGTGTTGAATGGCATCCACTTTTACAGCTGACTTAAAAGAATCCTTCCTCTCCTGGCCAGAGGAGATATAATCACTGCTGGCTTAAGGCAACACGTAAACATTCTACAGTGAAAGAATAACCTGTGCCAGCAGCAGAGGCATCACATTCCACAATGACCAGCAATCCTTATAGTCATACTTCAGTATTCAATATGTTTATTTATAAAGTAATTTAATTTTACAAAGGAAAAAATAACAATATAGAAGCAAATGTTAACTTAGTCATAGTCTCCTAAACGGTGTGCTTCTGTTTTGAATCAATTTATAACAAACAAAATCACAGTCATCAGTACAGCAGATGTTACAGGTAGTTACAGATTCTACTTAATACAATTGAAGAGCTGACTAATGCAAACTTCCTTCCAAAGAACATAACGGAAGTTGTATAAGATCTGTAATGGTTTCAACTCTTTAGCTGTACGAACCTTCTACTCAAGTGAGCATCGATGCGCCACTTACACAGAGGAAAACAGGTCGAGTTCTTGAGCTTTAACACACAGGAGGAAGACATAACCCTTCATGCCTGAGCCACATCACAAAGCACTGGCTCCTGTTTTCTGTGAGGCATGCAGTGCTGCCCTGAAAAGTGTCATTGGTTGGAAGCAATGCCCAAGTCCAGGTCCTGGAACATGAACACCAATCAAACATTCTGCCTGGATTAACAACCCCACACCTTCTTCTGGGGGGTCTGTTTTGCTTTTTAATGGTGAAAGTGCCTTGCTAACCCAGCTGAACTGCTCCTCAGGGGTTAAGTTAAACTTCCACATAGCGCAGTGCCATGCAGACACTCTAAAGTTCTGTTGCAAGTACTGGCGTAAGAAGTATTTGCTGAGAGCTCTTAATCATGTGGTTTTCCATACATTTTCTGCATAACAAAAGTATGTACCCAACCAGTAAGATACAAATTTCATCCCAACAGTTTAATAATTTTGATCAAACATGCTTAAAAAATTTGCAAAGTTCTTCTCACCATTGGAAATGTGTCATAGAGAACTGTGTTTGCAGGATGTTTTCTTAAAAAGCTATGAATGCCTTATTTTAAAATGATTAATGCTCCATGAGCTGTAATCATTTTCTTAAAGGCACTGAACCCATACAGGAAACAAGAAGCTAGTTCTTCTGATCAACAATATAAACACTTAGAAATTACAAAATACTCTGTTTTCAGTAAAATCCATAGAGACCTTTCCAAATTTAAACATTCTGTACTCTGAAATGTTAACAATTACTTAAAAGGAAGCTTTTTTTTTTTTTTTCCTGGAAGAATTGAAGGAGGACTTGAAGACACACTTGACTTCCCAAAAGCAGCCAGAGCTGAGAACAATTTAAAGATAGGGGTTTCTGTAAAGCTGAATCTGTACAAAACGTTAAGTCTTGCTGAACCTAACATTTTCAATGGAAAGACAAACCCCAAGTATTTTGTTTTATTGTACTACTACCAATCTGGAATAGTTCCTCTGGTACAATCTTGAATACGGCCAATGTCATTGTTTAATGTTGACTTCCTTTTAAGTTCACAAGCTACATGAAAAAGTGAAATGCACACACAGCACAAATACTACTGCATCTATCAGTGCTTACATACGGGATTAAGAACAGTGCAAATACTAGCATTTAGCCTACTTCCATTCTTGACTACACTATTGCTATAAATGCATATGAACAAAAACCTATTATGGAAGAGTTTCTAAGTCTAGTTTACTGTAAAAGCACCTTCAGTTAATTTGTATAAATTTACTGTATCTTAAATAATTTTGGTTGTTTCAAAAGCTGAAATACTGTAATAACAAAAACAATTTGAAATTATGAAGTTGTGTATAAGCACCAGATTATTTAACATTTACAGTGCAAGACTTAAAATCAGTTAATTTACAGAAATCAATATCAACAAGAGAGACTATTCTACTAATTCTCAATAACTATGAGCTTCCTAACACATTTAGAATATAACCTCCTAACTTCAAACACGAAGGCACCTGGCTTTACCTCTGGAAAAGAAACCTGTTGCTCAGAATTTGTATAAAACCCCAAGTATCTGAGGACTAAGCAGCCTACTGACCCCACAACTGGGCAGCCAGTTACCCCTGGAGCAGCAGTGCTGTCGTGCACCACAGGATATTGGAGTTTGGATTCTTAATGTAGAGTCTGGTCTTCACACCATAACTAAGTGCAAAAGCAAATCACCACATTAAGTAAAGGGTGGATGAACTGTATTCTTATCTGAAATTACAATCTGAGAGCAAGTACCTTAGAAGTAGCCAGACCCGAAGCCTGCCTTGTTTTTAAAAGGAACTGTTACATCTCTAACAGTTCTCTTTCACGGGTAGGTGAAAGAAAATCACCTACTAAGTATTGTTCTCAAATCACCAAATTAGTTCAGCAAGGTTGAAACACAGCACAGAAGCCTGGAACAGTGATTAGGCCCAAAATTTCATTAGAAACAATTTATGTATGTTTGGTCTAAAGAATTTACATTGTTAAAAAATAATACTCTGATTGTGCAATAAATAAAGCTATTTCCCCCTCTCCTTCCCAGAACCCCTGTTGCCAGGCTTCAAACTATGCAAGACACAGTTACTTTCAAAAGCTGGATGATTGATGTACATCAAGGAGCTGAAGTCAGCAGCACTTCAGTCACTTAAACTAACTGGGCCAGCCACTCTTCAGTCCAAGGTCAAAGTAAAAGAAGCATTCTGAGGAGACATGCTAAAAACCTCATGCTAAAGCAGGGAGTTGATGTAGTACTAGAAACTGCACACTAGTACCAGATTCCTAGCACCACACAGCTGTAGGGTTTTTTTGCTAAATATTTGTTTACTCTGCAAGTTGATTCCAAGAACGCTGACTGACCATTCATTATCTGAATAACCCCTAAAATGGCAGCATTCTCAAATTGACAGTGTTTGTTTTTCAAGTATCTCTACACCAGCTCTTGAGTCAGACATGCAAACAGTTAATATTTCCCTGTGTCTAGCTCCTGTAAAGTTAAAAACTCACAGAACTAAGGCCTGTATCTCACTTGCTATTTCTTCACTGTTTTATGGAGGATAATGTAAACAGTACTTCTAAACTTAGAAATACAATTCTAAAGGGATGTTGAAATAAGAACATAAACAGTAAACAAAATGTTCACGGTGCAGGGCATGTTGGAGCCAAGTGGATCCACCAAGTAGATCACATGCCACCACATTTAGACAGTTTTAGGATAAACCTTACTAAGAAAGCAGAAAGCAATGCTACTACAGGAAAAGGTATCCTTATACAAACAAGTAAGTTATTGCATATTTATCACATTTATTTGCAACTCACATTAAGGCTAGGTTTACTAGAATGAATGACATATAAGCTTCACTTTGGGTTGCTTAATGAAGCAACCAATGTCTCTTATACTGAACCAACCTTTCACTAAGAAGAAAAAAATTAAACAGTAAACAGAGGGCAGCCAGCATGTCCTATTCATAGAACATGCTTCCATTGTTCTAAAGACTTCTTGCCTGGGATAGGACTTCCCAAACAGATGACAGATGCTCCAAGTTCACTGTTTCATCAACATCCCCATTATTTCACTGAGCACTAAATTACCTATTACTAATTTATCTGAAAAGTCAACTTATTTATAAAAAGATTTCCACAGCCCGTTATTTAATTATGCCTTAGGAGAGTCCTAGTAGCTCCACAGGCAGTAGCAGCCTCAGGATATGATACAAACTTCTGCCTCACCATGAGTAAAGGCACTTTTGCTGGGAAATCAACTAAAATAGCACAAAGAAGTAACTAAAGATTAGTATTCACCTGAAGCTGAATAACGTAACCTCCTCCAGCATAATCCTACCCTCTCAATTACTCTTCTTTGTCACTGTATGGCCTTTGGATACATTTAAGAAAAAACAAAAGAAAAAGAAAAAAAAGTGAGTCAAAGCTATTTGATTGAGCTATTTCACAATTTGGTCTTGAAAAACAAGGCCCTCAGAACCCTTGTCCTCCAGAAGGAGGAAATGCTGTAGTCCATTTCTCCTGTTGACTGATACAGAAGCTGAACACTCCCATGGCCAAAATTATTACAGCACTAGAGTTCCAAATCACCCGGTGCCAGGCAGGTGAATAACAATCCAGGAGAAAGTTCTAAAGCTATTTCTGAGGAAAACACTAGGTAGGGTATATGAAGTAGGGTGGTTGAAGGAAGACCAGGATTTTGGTTTTCGATGACACATACGAGTTGCATAAAAACTCAGTGCATGTAGATACACTACAAGGGTGTAGTTCATTCAATCTATCAAGTTATCTATTACCTCTATTCTAGAGAAAAGTCCATTTTTAAATCTGGGACATGCTTGCTATCACAAGCTGCTGTGACAAATTATTCCAGTGCATTTCTCTCCACTGCAACGCAGATGCTCAAAACCCACTGACTTGCAGGTGATGTAATAGCTCATCACCCTCATCACAAAAATCTTACAGGTTTTTTGTTCCTCCTCTCCATCCCCACCCCATCTTTCATGTTTTTCCTAAGAAAGCACTGTAGCTGAAAATAAATGAAG